CTACTGTGAGGGTCCGTTTAATTTAAGAGAGCTTAAGGTATCTCTTGTGGATAAAGGAGTATCCACTGAGTTGATAAAAATATATTTTAATAGTAGGGTAAGAATTAGAAATTTATATTTAGTAAGAAAAAAAAGGTGTTATTAAATATATATATAAGAAAGAAATAAGTAATAGTGATATTTGTAATAGAAGTAGACTAAAATTAAAAAATTGATAATTTGAGAAAAGATTTTTAGATTAAATTGAGAAAAATTAAGAATTGGTATTTGTTAGGTAATAGAAAAAGAAAGTAGACGATTTGATAAATTGATAGAAGAGAAGGGAAAAAGCTCACAATTTAGTTTAAGGTTAAAAAATAACATGATGAATGTAATGTTATTAAGATTAAGGTTAATTAATAAGGTAATTAAAAAATAAGACTAAAAAAAGGGGGGCAAAAAGAAGGTATAAATTATTATATTATAAAAATAATAAAAATTAAATTAAAGGAATTGATAAGGTTTTGAGAAGTAGTGGTTAATAAATAATAGAGATAGGAAGAAAAGAATGAGATAATAAAATTTAGTGATAAATAAATTCACTAAGGGAGGGGAAAAAATAAAGAAAGAGTTATTTATAAGGTTTGGAGATTATAAGTAGGTTAGGATAAGAATATTTAAATATTTGAATATACTTGGTTATCTTCTTAATTATTGGTTATGAAAGAAAAATATGAGTATAAAAAATTGTGATGTAAGTACTGACAAAAATTGTGAGTATGTTCAAAATAAATATATAAGTTGAGTATCTTATAGAGGAAAATTACATTAATATGTAATTGATAATATGAGATGAAAATTGATAAGGTAATCTAAAAAATAAAGAAAGGATTAAGTGAAATAAAAAGTTAGCCTGAATCTTGAAAAATGAAGAGACATTGAAATTTGAATTATTTTCTTATTCACATCATTTACTTCATTCATATTCAGAAAGTTGAGGGAATATTGTTTATATCAATTTAACATCATCCATTTTTCCGCAGAAGATTTTTCTAGCCCAAAAATATTTCCATCTGTTTGTATAAAATAAATAAATAAAATCAATAAATAAAAAAAATAAAAAATACGTACCGATGACATGAAATCACGATGACGTAGTGAGGACATCGGAAAATTATAATATAGATTATTTTATAACCCTAATTAAATAAATATAATCATTTATTAATTGAAAACTAAAAAATTTAATATTGTAATTAGCAGAGTTCAAAATATCTAATTAACTGTATATTTATTTTTAAATTTTATTATCATACCTATTCCTAAAAATATTTTCAAGGTCTAAATAAGTATAATAAAAAGTAAGTAAGTAGTCATATAGTTTATAATCCTCTATTATATACAGTTGTTTATGAAATATTAGATAAAATGCCACTTTTATAGACGTATTTGACACTTATAATATATTACAGCTAATATTATAATGAATTTTACTAATAAATGCTTTTGATAATAAATATAGTAACAATTTGCTTTCAAGTATTTAACGTCATAAATAATTTTAAAAATTAAACATTTTATTATTCATCCTACAATAGATGTAATAAATTTGATATCTTTTCTTTTCTTTTTTACGTTAGGAAAGCTATTTTTTTCTTTTCTAAAAACAGTTTTAAGTTAAATTTTTAATACAAGTATATTTTTGATATTTTTACAAACTACTATTATTTTAAGATATAATAAACCAGCTAGAGGTGGTGCGACAATATATAAAATCTTAATTGTTTCATCATATCATTCTGGTCCTTATTTTATACTTCCAAAATGTTTCATTTCTAATATGGCATCCTTGCCTTGTAAATAACTCAAGGCTTCAATATATTTGCACAATTATTTCTTCCAAAAAATAAATTTATAATAAATTCTGATACTAGTTTACATCGTAAGTGTCGTGTCTATTACTAGAGGTCTGCATTGGGCGGGTAAAAAAAATTTTCGAAAATGGGCAGGCGGGCGGGTTAAAAAAATTTGAAACTATGGGTGGGCGGGTTAAGAAATTTAAACAATGGGCGGGCGGGTTAAGGAAACTAAAATTTTTTGTTCAAAAACAAACTAAAAAAAATAAATGTTTAAATGATCTATAACCATATTTCTTTTTTTATTGTACCAATCGTTTTTTTTTAAGTTAAGAACATTTACCTAACTATATTATGTAATAAACACAATAATAAAACTTTTCTTAGAATAAATAAACATTTTTGTCTGTTAAAAATTTCCTTTTATGGGAATGATATAAAACTTTTCTCTTAAAATTTCCTATTCAGGGTTTGCAAACTGCATCGTATTATTTTATTTTAGTAATAATTGTTTATCTTTATAATTGATATTTTCATTTTTATTTTTATTTTATTATATAATATATAAATTTTATTTTTTATAACATAATTTTTTAATAAAAAAAATATATTATAATTTAATTATTTTAAAATTTTATTATGAATAAAGAAAATATATCTAAAAAAAATAAAAAATAATTTATATAAATTAAAAGAAAATTCAGATAATAATAAACTCAAATCTTGAATGTGGAAACAATTTAAAATCATTTTCGATGAAAATGACAAAAAGCTAGATTGGATTCGCTGCAATGATTGCGAATCTATCTATAAATATAATAACAAAAGTGGCACATCCTTCTTCCTTTGTCATCAATGTTCATCTGCAAATTATGAAGATTGATAAATAATAAAAAAATTTACGGATATTTTCAAAAAGACAATTCTCAATTAAACAAAACGATCAAATCGGATCTAATAGCCAATTTTGTAGAATATTGCGCTAGAGATATTAGGTATCTTAATTTTTATTAAATTATTCTTTTATCTTTTTTTTTTATAAATAGGACGGGCGGGTAAAAAATTTTAGACTAATGGGCGGGCAGGTAAAAAATTTTAGACAAATGGGCCGGGCGGGCGGGTATATATTTTTTAAAACTATGGGCGGGCTAAGTGGGCGGGTTAAATTTTTTTTTAAAAATTGGATGGGCAGGCTTTTGGTCCAAAAACCCACCCAATGCAGACCTCTAGCTATTATTACAATTAACCAGCATCTATTATTTATGTTGCTATGTAATTTAAGATTATTACTACAACGGCTGAGAGCATACAAAAGTAGAAATGATTATTGGTAAAAAGCATTGGAAAAAAAAAATTTTTATTAATTTTTCTGTGGTGCCCTTGATTATTTCTAGCTTTTTATAAAATGAAAAGTTATTTTTACGATATAATATAATAATAAAATTTCTTAATGGTTGAATTTCAAAGATAAGATTTATTATTTTTAAAAAAAAAATTTTCTGATTTGATAAGGGATGTGTGGGGCAATTATGTTAGGGTTTTAGGTATTTTGTGGATGAAGATTCTCATGGTATGGTCATGGTAAAATGCCAACTACCCATTTGACTTATAGAAGACATAAGAAAAAAGACTATGGAAATGTTGCGGGACAAAAAACTATCAAGTGGTTCATTGAAAACAACTACTATGACAAAATGTATGGCCGGGAGTTTATGCAGCAGTCAACAGCAGGGGTTTGACTTTGAATCCTATAATTTATAAAACTCATCCTGAGTCTTATATTATTTTATTTTAGAGATTTAATTTTATCGTAGAATATAAAAAGCGGATTTTGAGGCAATATATGATCATTAATTTACTACATTTTATTTTAATAAAATTTATTATCAATTATTCAGTTTTTTTTTCTTTCATTTTAATTCAATAAAGAAGTCTTATTGGGACAACCAATAAATAGTTTTTACTTAAAAGTTCGGTTTAGCCTCTTAGGCTTGGATAATAGTTTTCACTTAAAATTCGGTTTTGCTCTTTTAGAGTGCTCAAATCCTGCTAAAAATGGTGTATGATTTATCATCACAAATTGCCAGTGGTTTATTCCAATATATACTTTATAAATTCTCAGGCTAATGACCTTTTAGATAAATCAAAATAGGTTCTAATTTTTTGGACCATTTAGAGGAAGTTATATAGACGTTAACCATACTTTTGTTAAAAAATGAATCGAACTAGAGCAAGGCTTAGAAAATTATAAAATTTTCAGAATAAATTAGTCTCGTTCAAAATGTAAGTTTAGCCAAAATTTAGTTTTTTTAACCTTTATACTGGTTAAAGCACACATAGGTAATAACAAAACAAGAATTATATTGATTTTTGTGTAAAGATATTTATTTATAACTTAATTGACCCAAGTTAGTTTTAAAGATAATATAATCAATTAATTGAGATTAATAAATAAAAATAATAAAATAATAAATTTAAACGTTTTACTAAAATGTAATAAATATTAAACGGGTTCTAATATCTTTATGACTTTATAAAATATGAAATAAAAAAAATGGTTATCTAAACAAATTTAACCTATCGTTTCTGCAAAATTAGAAAATAAACATGTGCTTAATAAAGAATATATTTATAATTAAAAACACATTTACATAATATATCTCAAACAAATTAGATTAATGATAGGTACTACCTAAAATCATTATACACATTTACATAATATATCTCAAACAAATAAGATTAATGAAAGGTACTACCTAAGGCGGTATCTATCAAATTTGTATATTGTTTTTTTTTCATTTGAATTATTACCAAATTTATTTTTAATATATATTTTAAAAAAGAGTGATTTTCAAAAAGCGGCTGGGGCCTAGTCAATAAGAACATCGCTTGATTAACCTATTATAACAGATATGACATATTTTAGAAACAAATTAAAAATAACCATTGAAAAATCAATATCTAATAAGAATTTTTCATAGAAGGGACCTACGTTTAGGTCAGGATGGGAGTTTGAAGAGGGAGCCCTAAAAAATTCTCATCCACCTCCTTGGATAAATTCTGACTACGCCTCTGATACACCAAGTCAAGTGACTTAATTTACAAATTTATTCTTACTAGTCATGGTTTAGCATAACAAATAATTCATATTCCATATGGGAACTACATTCATTCAGCTGATATCATATGGACAAAGAAAGATGATTATCCTGGAATACTATGCTAAAATTATTTGAAATAGGTTCCGCGCCAATCGATTGGTGCGAAAGAAACTATGCAGTCTCAGGATTTATAGCCGAATTCTTTAATACGGTTTATATATTAATTTAATGTAAAAAATTTACAATTAACTACATTATCTTTTTTCATTGAATGAAAATATTTTAATATAATAGATTAGCAACATTCTCTTTTTTATACTGCCACCAATCTTGATATATCTTTTTCTGCCATATGGCAAAAAGTTCATGCAAGTAAATTGTTTAATTTATATATTTTAACCCTTTGATTATTGGTTAATGAAATTTTTTTAAAAAAATTTATTTTAAAAACATGTTTGTAGTGATGATTTATTTTATTCCATACATTGACTTCATAAAAACATGTATTTGTCAAAGTTTGTAGCCATACTGGGCCCAGGTCTATGGATGGATAAATTAACTTTTAGGCTTGCTCCCTATATAGAAAAATTAATAATTTTAATTGTGGCCTGGCCCATAATTATTTTAGAATATTGAGGCCCAACCCACAAACAAAAAAAGATAAGAATATTTATATTTTTTTAAATTAAAAGATGATTTGTGATTACCCTGCTTAAGTATTTACATTAGAAAAGAATTCAACCTTTAAAAGACACTTGTAATGAAGCATAAGCCATGGAAAAATTAATGGGAGCCCAGCTCAGCCTGTAGTTCATTTTAAATTTTAATTTTGGCTTAATTTATTGTGCTGGTGGTCAAACCTGGACCAGCAGTCCTAGGTGTCTTCAATAAATATTATTTTGAGATATATTTATTGTTATTGTTTTTTATCCAAATAATTTATCTATATTTTTAAATTTTTAGTCTATCCATATTGTTTGGATATTGTTAGTTGTAGTTGGTATTTGCTCAACTTATTTTCATGCTACACTTAGTTTAGCTGGACAATTATTGGATGAATTGGCTATTTTATGGGTAATTCATGTGGGTTTTGCATTATGGTTTCCAAAAAGATTATTTCCTTCAATATTTCAGAATAATAGGTATATAAAATGTTTATATTATAATTAGAGGTATACTTGATATAAGGTTCAGCAGCAGCCCTGTATCTTCCATACTTGTATCTGGCTGGTTCTGCTTTCTTAGCTGATTTTTTTTGAAATACTTTAACATATTTGAAATAAATGAAGATTTATAAATTAAAAATTTTATATCTCTTTAAAAATGTGGAATTAATAAACAAAGCACTCAACACAAAAAATAAAATGTATATATTTTATTTATAAATCCAAGAACTAACCATCTTCATGTTTTGTTAGCACATTTATGTTTAAAAAATAATTTTTTTTTATTATGATGCATACATCCAATAGCATCACAAAAAGAAGGGTGGGTGAGAGCACATAGGGGCTCAAAATGCCATTTTGAATATCTAAAAAATAAATTTTTTGAATAAAGGCTAGTAATGCCAAAATCCTTAATTAATGTTACATTTTAATTATAGGAAAGTTATTAAATATTTTTTATAAAATATGATGCTGGATCTGGCTGGTTAAATATAAATATAATTAGATCCAGTCTGGTACCAATGAAGAAATTAAATCTTGTATACCTTTAATTATACTTTTTAAAAAATTTAATTTTATTCTTTTCTGAAAAATAAATACCCTATTTTTTCATAGCCAGATTTACTCATGACATTTTTCTTTAAGGTTAAACAAGATAAAGCTCTGCTAGGCTGAAAACATTAAATCAGGTTAAGGTCTATTTAAAAAAAAAATAAAGATTAGGCCTTATTTTTTTTATTAAAATAATAAGATTAAAATTTCCTTGGAATTAGGATCCTAGAAATCAGTGACTTTTATTTTATTTAACTCATTAAATATATTGGGCTGATCCATAAATTAAAAATTCGTGCTAGGCTCGAGCTTAAAAAGAATGATACATCTGAGCCGCAGCAGGAAAAAAATTTGGTCAGGTTCATACTGTTGGTAAATTATAACTCGAACCAACTCCAAAATAGCTACCAAAAAACCGGGTTAAATCCCAAATCGGTTTGGAGTAAACGGTTTGAGGTATATTAAGCAAATTTAGTTGAGATTGACCCCAAAATAATAGGATTAATATCGTTACTAATTGGTTTGGGGGTTGGTTCAAGTTAAACAATTGAAAATATAAAATCACGGGAGATAATTAATAATTTCACAATTTTAACATTTTATTTGATAATTAATCACACATAATAATGTACATAAATTTAAGCCTTTGCGTTTTGCCGTATCTTTTTTAATTAAAAAAAAACGTAACGCTTCCTTTATTTAAATTGAGACTGCCTTTTAATTTCAAATTAATATTAACGATTCAATCTTTTAACCAAAATTAAAAGAAATGCTTTTATATATTATATTATCGTCTGTCTTTTTATTTCATTTAGATATCTTCCATTTTTAATAGATGATTTTATATTTTCTTACATTTTATATATTTCATTTCTATATAATTAATGTCCTCCTTATTATTCATATCTGATTAATAACATTTTGTTGTCTACTTTTTGAAAAAGCCGAGGTCTTAAAAACGTGTCATAAACCAACGTGCAAATTGAATAAATAATAAAAAAGGTATTGAAAAAGGCGAACCAGTTTACGTTTTTCAAAATGGTTTCTAATGCCAAACGGCAATTTGACACGATACATAAAATGTATTATTTGCGTTTGATATTCAATTTGTGCTCAGGGGCGCTTAACCAATGGGGTGGGGGATATCCCCTGCGCACCCCCTATCCCTTTTTCCCAAAAAATATTTACAATATATTACTATAAGGAATATTTGAAAAAAATTAGTAAAAATTAATAACTTTTTTAAATAAGCGACTGTAATTCAAAATTTTTAGAAAAAAAAACATTTTTATAATAAAAATTGAAAACCCAAAATTAATTTTATAAAAATCTAATATAGCCAAAGGCCTACAATAAGTAGACTTAAAGATATCCAATAGAATTTATGAGGAAACCCCACCTAATAATGCCCCCCCCCTAGCTAAATCATGGATACGCCTACATCGTATAAAATACAATTATAAAAAATAATATATAAAGTAAGTAAATAAATATATATCTTATCTTAACATATCTTATTTAGCACGTTGGTCATAGACCTGCCCAAAATGAGCGAACGTGAATTTTATGAAGGCCCACCTTTCATAAAATTAACGATTTTTTTCTCAAGGATACCAACAAACCTTGTACCCAGTTGTAATTTAAGTGTAACTTACCCTTTCCGATTTTGTAATAGTGAGATTTAGTAATGAGTATTATAAAAGAAAATATATTAGTAATCTTATCTATTTTGAATCCATAAAATAACCACATCAATAATATAGAATGAATTAAGAATATTTGAATCCATAGAATTACCACATCAATAATATAGAATGAATTATGAATATATCGTAGTTTCCATTTCATCGTTAATTTTAATTCATTGAGAGAATAAACAAATGATTAAATAAAATTAAATACTAATTCAAAAAACAGTACAACCACTTATCGAGAATACTAGTACAATTAATAACATTTGTTGAGTCTTCCAAAAATTGTTGCATCGAATGAACAGCACCCATTAAACAAAAAAAAATACCCATAAATATATTTAAAAAGCATATTTTAAAAAAGATATTATGTATACTAGCATTTATGTGTTATTTTTCAACTTTAGATCATTTTTCGAGCTCGTTTTTTTAGATTTCTATTTTACCATGTTTAGAATACCCATGAATTTCAGACAATTTAGTCATTAATCTTTTAGTCATTTATAATTTATATAAAAAAATCTTTGGGAAATCTAATATAAATTATATTAAGTTAATTGCAAAAATTTTCTAAAAATCACGGAGTAGTTTAGTTTTCTACATTTATAAACCATAAATAAATTTTAAAAAAATTAAAAATGACTTATGGATCTTCAACATCGTCCAGTGAAGAGATGTAGCTTAAATGACTTGATTGAATAAAACTTTGTCGAAAGTATTAACCTTTGAGGGATTCATCTGTTTTATCAATGATTCACTTGCCAATCTCCCTAAATAGTTTAAAGGCTTTCGTACTTAACGTTGTGAGAGTAGACTCGATGAAAAGTTTGAACTAGATAAAGTAATGTATTTATTGGTTCTTGAGATCTTAGTTGCGGAGAATGCGTTTTTTTAATGTTAGATAGGGAAATAAGTTCGTACATGAAAAATCCCAAACTAAAAATTGACCGTCATATGATTAACATTATAGCGTCTTGGCTTTATTCGTTGGCCCTGTGGAGCTCATTAGACTCTAGCTTGGAAGGCGTTTCTGCAAAAGTTAAAACTCGTTTGATAGCTTCGTTGCACTGAGAAAGCGGAGGGAAAAGACCTTTGTAGGATTATGGAGACTATGTCTTTAACGTTAGTATGTTTTCGGTTATGTTAGCAAAAGTAGGGCGTCACAATGTTGCATCTAAGTTTTAGGCCTATTGATGCCCAATTTTTTCTTCTAATAAAAGAGGCCTGAGTTCTTATATAAACTTATTTAAAAAAATTAATATTCACGAAAGGTGGACATGTTTTTTAAAGATAATTTGCAATTTAAAAGAAAATTAATTAGCCAGTGTGCATTAAAACCTTAAGGCAAATCGATCAGCCTAAATTTAACTTCGAAATTAAGTTAAAACAGCCGATTTCTCCAAACCTACTAACTCGAAAAAATATTGAACTTTGAGGGCTCTAATATTATCTACGAACCCTGATCATTTATTTTTATTTTGATATTAGGTTAGATACTTGTGACTGTCGTAGCTCTGATTTTTTTAGTTTATATTAAAGGAAAATTATTTTTTCAGTATGACTATTTTCCGGCCAAAAGGCTTATAAACTTTTTTAGATATTTTATTATCTTGTAAACGGATTATAATTTTATATTTTTTTTATCAGAAATTACTTTCAATGGTTGATATTTGTTATCGGGGTTCTATCCACTTGTTTGGCATGCGTAAACCCAGCTGTGAATGCATTTGTTTTGATGTGTTTTGGTATACCTGCAACAATTTTGTTGATTATAGAATTAAAAAGGTAATCTAAATATAGGCAAAATTGTTTTGTTTCAATTTTTGAATGTTTAGCTTAATAGTATTTACAAGTATATATATACACATACACACCTTTTTTTTACAAATAAATAAGAATTTACAAAGTTGCTTATATTATTGCTAGATAAATCATACCTCAAATTATGTTATATATTATTAAATTGAATATTTACAAAAATTATTATTATATGTCAAAAATCGCCTAGGGACACTTTATCAGTCAGTCATGCTAAGGCCACACGTTATCACACGGTTTTATCGTTTTTTTATATAAAATGTATACTTATTTGATAATTACAATATATTAAAAAAACTGACAAAAATTTTAAAAAAATGTGAAAAATTGAAAAATATGATTAAAAATCTATTAAATGTAAATATAAAAAATTAAAAATATTATAAAAGCAAAACCATGAATGGATATGCAATTGATCAACATATTTCAAGAGATATTCTCTGCCTGAGATAAAGATATTCCTTGGGATCGCCGGAGATATAAGATAGTTTTTTTCCCTAAATTTGGGGAAAAGTGATGCTTCAATGTCAAAGTTACCTAGAGTGGAGTGATAAAAGGTAAAAATATGGCATTTTTTAGGAAAAAATATTTGAGGCATTTCGAAGTTTCGGTTTAATCCCTACGCCAATGTTCTCTTCTCAGAAGATATTTAAAAACAAGTTCATTGATGTGTTTTAAATTATGGAATTTCAGTTACACATTTTTAAAAGAGATTGCCTATATTTCCTGCAATTAAATTTTTTTATTTACAATTTATATTTTTTATTTGTGATATATTGATTTATGATTATTTACTAATAAAAAGTTTAAATTAAATTGTCTCATTGCTTATGTTATAATAAAAGAGGTGATAATTAAGTAAGAATCTGTGCCCTAATTCCCCAAAGGACTACGGATCTTAATTAGCCTCCATCTCAGCACAATCCCACATTTGCAATTTGTGTAAGATCCAGGTCGACAGTAAAGGACACCATTCATTACATTGCAAATTAAATCCTCTCATACATAAGGCCTTCCGAAACCTCGAAACGCCTCAGACATTCTTTTTTAGAAAATGATTTTTACTTTTCCAACTTCCACTATAGATAAATTTGGTATTGAAGCATCACTTTTCCTGAAATCTTTAGGGAAACAAACTTTCTTATTTCCAAGACCATAAGAAAAATCTTTATCTCAGGCAGAGAATATCTCTTGAAATATGAAGATCTATCTATGTATTTTTTTATATTTACATTTTAAAGATTTTTATAATCATATTTTTTTAAATTTTTGTCATATAGTTTTTTATACATTGTTTAATCGAATAAACTTTATACTTAATTTTTTTTAATGTTTTGACTTTTAAACAGAATAAAAATAAATATATTTTCAAAAAAATTTAGAAAAAAAAACTTGTAATATCGAAATTAATTGGGAAAGTCTAAAAATCATATATTGGTGTCGCTTTATTAAATGATTGAGTGATAAAATGACGTCGTGATAATATGTTGGGTATAAAGTGTCACCAATTCTATAATATATGCACTAGAGATTTTCATGGGCCTAGATTTTAGGACCAAGCCCGGCCCAGGCCCATCGTAAAAAAAAATTTTAAGCCCAGGCCCGGCCCGTTTTTAATATTTAAAAAAATTCCCAAGCCCGCTATAATATTTAAAAATTTTCCCAAGCCCATAAAATTATTTTATGTATACTTAACTTATGCTGAAGTAATACTAATAGAAATATAATATTTTATTTAGTAATAATATATATATATAATATTAATAAATGATATAAACAAAATTTTAATTTATATTTTCAAATTATCATTTAAAAATAATATATTATTTACAATTTCGTTATTTAAATTTGTTCTTCTTTCTTCAATAACCCTTCCAATAGTATGAAATTCCGTTCACTGGAAACATTAGAACGCTGGAATTGCATGGATTTTATGCTTCTTCCACCAATCTAGGATGCAGTCATCATAGTTGATATCCTCTTCATTTAGCTGAATATCCATATATAAATTAATCTCATCAACATCCGTCTCATTATGAAGTATTGTATCATCCTCCCATGAAGACATATCCAATAATGAGGATGAAGCTAAAAATATTAAATAGCTAAAAAGATTTATAAAGAATACCTCGAAGTTTGGCCATCTTTGGGAACATTTTTGGGAATATTCCCTGATTTTCGCTGTTGCTTTTTTCGCTGTTTCGTGCCCAGGCCGTTGTGTTAAGTTAAGTAAAATTATACCAATTTCCGATTTAAAAAATATATACTCTCCCAAGGTGTATAGGAAATTTGATAAATAACACTAATAAAATCAGAATGATTTGTTATATTTATCCTATTAAATATCCTTAAAATAAGCTAATTTTGAATTTAAAAAATATATACTCTCCCAAGGTGTATAGGAAATTTGATAAATAACACTAATAAAATCAGAATGATTTGTTATATTTATCCTATTAAATATCCTTAAAATAAGCTAATTTTGAATTTAAAAATTTAGGCCCAAGCCCTATTGCAAAAATTTCCAACAAACCCAAGCCCGGCCCAGGCCCGCTAGGAAATTTATAATTAGGCCCAAGCCCGGCCCATGAAGGTCTCTAATATGCACATCATACTTATTATAATAATAGGACAAAAGTCCCGAAATAAAGAGAGCGGACAAAATACCATAATCTTAAGAAAAAAAATTTAATTCTTTAAAAGAAATGGATTTTTAAGTGTTAATTTAAAATTAAAAAAAGACATGTTTTAGGTAAGAAAATAATGAATTATAAAGACCTAATGTGGGCTAGGGGTTAGTATAGGTATATATGAGAGTAGCTATTTAGAATAAGAAAGATGTATGTGTTAAAGTTGGGTCATATCTTTTCTTAAAGAAAATTAAATACTCCATATTTTTTTATTTGAATTCAAAAATTCAACAATAATAATGATATTCGTTTTAGCAAAAAGGAATACTGACTGACATTCTTTCCGACTGGCTAGATTTTTTTAAAAAAAATTATTATCGGTTTTTTATTTAACAATCGGTTTTTTGTTACTCCATACAATATCAAATTTGATCATGGTTTGTCTGTGTATTTTTTTCAATAACTTCCTGGCCGGGTCCTATGAATCATTTACCTGTTAGATAATATACATAAACACCGGTAATCAAAATTATACCATAATTCTCTAATTTAAATATTAGTTATTTCATTTAATTAAAATCACGATTTAAAATATTTTTTAAGATACACGATTTTTGTTAACATTATGATTGACTAATCTTATCTTTTTTATTATAAAAAAGGGTATTTTGGTCCGGTGTCTTTTTGTTCAATTTTGGTCCGGTATCTTGTTAAGGGTATTTTGGTTCGACGTTTATTTGTTCAGGGTATTTCTGTCTGGGGAATTATTGCGGTATTGCTTGTTGCTATTGTCTCCTTCTTCAAGAGAATTATATCAACGATTATTTATATTTTAAATATACACAATAAAAACTTAGTAATTGAGCCTTAAAGAATAGCTATTTTTTAGTCATAATGTTGCTTTGGAAAACAGTTTAATAGTGCTTATAAATTGAGTAGCTGCTTTTGACGTTGCGTTTTTCTAAAAAAGCACTTCATTATTTAAATGAAAGGAGCATTTATTTGGAATAATGTGAAAAGCATTTAAACAATTTTGCGTTTTGCACGTTGCCATTTAAAATACTTTCTTTGAAATAAAATTCAAAAAAACGATTTAATTTATAATACCAAAATACCCACTTTTTAATTTTTTTCCTTAATTTTGAAACTATTCTAAATTTTTGAATATTTTAAAAATATTATGTTGACAGATGCGATTGTCGTAAGGTTTACAAGCTAGGCAAGAGGTCTAGTTTGCTGTGGGGTCTAGCTCTGACCTCGTGGATACTCGATCGATCACTATGCCACCCTTATTTGTCAAAGTCATTTCCTTATCTGCATTCCTTATGGCATGTATTGATCTTGCTGGCCACTTACGGTGCCTGTGTTCTATTCGCTTATTTTCACGCCAAACACGAAGCCCCTTCTGACCTGGGCATGCCTGTCCTCAGGTATTGGCCTTCATCATCGGGCGGTATATCAAAAATGGACTTTATGAATGTAGATGGGCATCGAAGTCATAAGATAAAGTATGCATTCTCTAGGAAAACTTTAAAAATTTGGTAAACAACGACCAAAATTATGACCAGATTCTCTAGCACCCAAAACATAAATGAGTTCAGGCTGGCCTATTAAATTTTATAAAGAATCAAAGATTGCGGCTCTGCCTAATTTGTTATCCCCATCCCGTTATATTTTTGCGGCTTGGCCCTCAGGTCGCGCTATCGGACAGAACAGACTTTGCAGATCTCTAATATAATCTATTTTTTAAAAGCTATTTTTAAAATCATAAACATCCTTTTAAAAATAAATTATGTATTTTTTAGCATATTTTTAATTATTTAGTCCTTTTTTTTAAAATTTGTCACCTTAATTATATACGAATGTTTTTAACTTGATAAAAGTTTAGAAGAAAAATTAGTAAAAGTTAGTAAATTTTTTTAAAAAATGACTAATTAAAAAAAAATTAGGAAAAAAACGATATTTATAAAAACAAAAATATTTTTAAAATCTAATTGCCAAAGGTTTAGAATAAATGAATCTAAAGTCCCCTAATAAAATTTATGGTGAAAAAATACCTAATAGCTCCCCCCCCCCTAGCAAAATCCTGGATAAGCCTATGCTCGTCCCTAACAGGGTACATTATCATAAATAGGATATTCGCATAGAAAAGTTTTCTGAGTAATCAGTTCATATAAATTTTAAAACACAAGGCCTGATCCACTTATTTCACGCTGCGTTTAAAACATTTTTTATTTTGTAGGAAATAAAATTATCACCTTAATTTTTGCCCTGTAAGCGTTTTAAATGCAGTGTAATGGAAGTATACCAGGACCACCTTTATAGATAAAAAAGCAACGAATTCGACGATACTAATACCAAAGATTGATTTTACCTTTAATTTAATTTTATGTATTTCAATTTTTTTATTCCTTCCAAACAGTCACGAATCCTTCATGAAATTTCGATATCCGCTATCCCAGTTTAAATACTTAAATAAAATGGCTTCATTATGGCGTAAGATTTCGAGTAGTGAAATAGGTAGAGTGCCTTACGTTACCTTCGTTTCTTCATTACTACCTCCCTTTTCCGTAAAATGCTGCGAATCAAATGGGGCCATAAAAAATAGAAATCATCAAGCTTTAGATTTTCATACTTACAATAGCGAATCGGGGATAAGGTTTAATGCCTGTGATCTCAAAAAACATTTAGGTTCATATAGATTTTATTACTTAGATATAATTATGGGTTCAAATTAATAACTTCATTGAATTTTAGACCTTAATTTATAATAGAGCCCTACATCAAACCAGCTTTAAACGGTTCGATCCTGAAATTATGCATTTAAATATTTTTTGGTCATCTGTCGATTCTGTTCATTTTTTTAAAAAATAAAATAGGCATTCCAGATAAATTTTGACTATTTTATTTGGTATTTAGTAACATAGAAATTATTTTATTTAAATGGTAGAATAAAGATCTTCTAGATGAACCCATCTATAAAAATGAACGCTCGTTGATTATGCTTCTAGCTGGAACACCGGATTTTTTAGCTAAAATTATTAATTTAGAAAGATTCAATATTTGTATTTTTTTAAATCGAACTCATCAATTATCTCTGAAGCTTAATGCAAAAATGAATAATATTTATTGTCTAGACTAGTCAAAGCTTCTAGCAAATTGTATTGTTGCCCAAAATTCTGCTGATGAATTGATAAATATTTCGTTTTTGTCAGCTAATATTTTAAGATAATCTAATTTTGAAGTCACCATGGCAGTTTCATCATTTACCAGTTTACCCATTTAAGTAGAAGATTCAGCATGTTGGCACATAAATTGGCTTCTTTTAGTTATTCATTCACTGTTTGTATTGAAAATCGATGGTCCAAAAGTTCTCCTAGATTAAATAAGAGAAATGTATTTAAAAAAACAACTAATTTATATATTTTAAAATAATATCTGAAGGTCGGTTATTGGAAATCTGTGATGCCTAAGGGATAGTATGGTAGCATAAAAAATTTAGTCAATGGCTTTCTGAAAATATCCTACTAAAATAAGATGCATTATTGGTAACGGTAAAATTGAAAACGATTATAATAGCTGATTTTTTACCATCAAACGTTAAGGATGAGCTATTGTTTAGTAAATTAATACTAAAGGCGCTTTTACAATTAAAAATAAAACAGATCAAACGCCGATCTCATATCATTTATTACTTTTATGTGAAAATTTGATTATAAAATGCGTCTATGGTAATGTTTATTGGTTTATTTTCACACACTTTTTTTAAAAATAAAAAAGAATGTCCGAGATTATTTTATATAATTAGAAAATAAAGGAAGGATTAGCAATTTTGAAATGAAAGCCAATTTTTGTCTATATATCAATATAAAAGTATTATGAAAACATAAATTTCACCTAATCATATTTTTCATGGTGGGGGGGGGGGGGTTTAATCCCCTACGTCACTGCATTCAGAGTGAGTTTTACTTTTTCTATAAAACATAACTCCAGGTCTGTGCTGCTGGTTCAATAATTTGCATAAAACTAATCTTATGTTAATTATAAGAAAATATATGTTTGTTGTGATTAAAACATCACATAAATTATATATACCTTGCTGATATTAATCTACTCATTGGAATTGAAACAAAAATATACTGGAATGATTATTTTCTAAGTGGAGCCTTAATTAATAAGTTAATCATGAAATGTTTTTAAACTTTAAACTTTTGAAAAAAATAATACAGCTCAATGTATTTTTATATAACATTTCAGCTATTATATTATGTTCAAGATAAAGAATATTTTTACATATTATAATACAATTAAAATATAACACTTATCTTTTATATTTAGTCTGAAATAGAAATTCTAAATTCATTTTTAAAACGAAATAAAAAATTATTTAATCTAATGACAGCTATTTTATTATGATATTCAAATAAATTAAACTATTAATGTTTTCTTGAATATTTGATATCCTTTGAAATTATCAAAAATATATAATGCCGCTACGCACCACCAAATATTCACATAGGTGACAGCTTAATAAGCGCCGACACTTTTTTGCCTTCGGCATGGTCAAGGATCGTCGGCGATGGCTAATTTGATAGACGGCCCACCGATAGATATACATATATCTATGGAAAAAAAGAATTATATTTTTTTAAAGTAATGCTTTAAATTTTTCCAAAGTAACAACTCACCTTTATTAAGGTACGTTTATAATACCGGCATAAAGTATCTTACTCTACACTACAATTATATACGTTGTAAATAATGGATATTTTCATTTGGAAGCGTGAGAATATTTTTTTAATGCACTAGGTTAATAAAAAGTTTTTTTTTAATAGGTCCACCTTAAAATAAGTTTGAATTTTATGAACTGAAGAGATATTTATACTTAATATATCTATATCTAACACAAAAATTTTGAATTTGATGTTTCATAGAATGTTTGTGTTCAGGCTGCCTATACGACATCTATTCTATATCTACGAATGATCTAAACGGACTTAACAAACTTCAAAAAACGCAAAAGTTCTGTAATAATCGATTACGACAATTTTAACAATGGTGGATTCTTAAACAATGCAAATCATTATTGATGACAAAAATAATTTACTATTTTTTTAATTATATATGCAATTTTTAAATTATCATTTGATAATGTTTATAATTGCACAAATATATAAATATATTTTGATCTGATCTAATATATATCAATTTTTTTAAATGTAATATGTTCAACATTTTTCTATATTAATTTTTGTTTCCAATTAAAAAAATTTTCACACGGAAAATGTAACATACTCTATGAATACTTTTATATCAGATAATATTAATTTTTCCACAATTTTTAAGTAGATAGATAATAATTTTATAAAATTTTTTAGTATACAAAATAATAAATTGGAAAGTTAGCAGTAATTTGAAGTGTATAATTTTAATAACCTTTTCATAAGTTTGTTTCCTTAAAATAGTTAGTTAACCTCCAAGATAAGTATTGTTGAAACGGCCCGATTTTTGAAAATGGCTAACCCAATAGTTTAGCCAAAAAATTATCAGGCCTGTAACAATAGTGTTGTTAAACAGCTCGATTTGAGCCGATTTTTAAAAACGGTTACTCATGTTTTTTCCAGAAAAATATGGCCTAAACCTCGAGAATTGGCTAATAAATGTAGTAACCTTTGTTCCATCTATGAGCGAAATCTTCAGGCTTGCGTAATATTTTTCTGAATAAAATATTGAGTTGGCGGTTTTTAAAAATCGAGTCATTTAACAAACACTACTAAGACTCAGAGGATAAGTCATTTACTTAACTAAGTCCTATCGATACCGCGATTTATTTAACTTTCCTAAATAACCACTATCGTTGACTCTTTTTTTATAACTACTTATATCGAAATAATTTTACTATATCGAAATAATTATTTTCAAAACCTGAAAATAACCTTTTCATAGACAACCCATAACCATTTTGATTTTAAGAAGCTGGACCTTAATCAAACACTGGCCTTTATAATTTTTCCTTGTTTAATACCGTTGGTTTTCCTCATTAAATTGAAATTAAATATCAATGTATTCTAATTTTATATTGAATTTTACGTTCGTTTTTATTTTATAATTTTTGTTCCCTTTTTTATTAATATAATATATAGGGGTGTACCGATACCACTTTTTGGAGGCCGATCCGATCTGATATCATATCTAATTTTGTATTCTGTAAAGGTATCAATGGTTTTAATTTTTAATATACTTCTTATTAGTATACACGCTATAATTTAACTATACCATAACCTATGTCATTTAAATATATTATAATGATCAGTTAGAGTTTATATTCAATCCAATTGCAATTCTAAAACTATATAAAATATTTTTATTGTTAAATCACTTTTATATAATAAGTAATAAACGATAAATATTTAACATTAATATATCTAAGATTTCTTTTAAGAAATACCAAAATTTCCAATTTATCAGAGGTGAGCCCGCGGCGATGGTAACTGGCAATATCACCAGCTTCACTAAAAACAGATTCTGAAGAGATTATCGCACACTTTTATAACAGAATGCGCAAAAATATAACAATATGGCAGAATGTTTATTAATTAATTATTATTATTAAGACGCAGGTTCAATCCTGGTAAGGAACAAAAACTTTCAAAGTTTTTCTTAGATGACTGATGTGTAAAGACATATAGTATGATGAATTTCGGAGCTTAGAGATGACACCCCGGTCACCGACAGGCCTGGACAGCCGGGTGCTAAGGATACCTGTCCAATAAACAAAATGACAGAAATAAATGGAAATATGAATATGAAAGCTAGGGCGTTCCCTCCATGCGACGCGCAGGGTGTAGACCTCCATCCTGTGAAAAATAAAGTAAAGGTCAAAGCAAAGAAAAACAAAAAAAAATATATCGCCGGGGTGGCCTAATGGGTAAGATGTACGATTGGAAACACGAGTATGAACAAAGACGCAGGTTCAATCCTGGTAAGGAACAAAAACTTTCAAAGTTTTTCTTAGAGGACTGATGTGTAAAGACATATGGTATGATGAATTTCGGAGCTTAGAGATGACACCCCGGTCACCGACAGGCCTGGACAGCCGGGTGCTAAGGATACCTGTCCAATAAACAAAATGACAGAAATAAATATGAATATGAAAGCTAGGGCGTTCCCTCCATGCGACGCGCAGGGTGTAGACCTCCATCCTGTGAAAAATAAAGTAAAGGTCAAAGCAAAGAAGACAAGACTGGCAAGTTTGAATATTGGGACGCTTAAAGGTAAGACGAGAGAATTGGCATCAATGTTGAACAAGAGAAAAGTTGATATAGCGTGCATACAAGAGACGAAATGGAAAGGACAGAAAACTTTGATGATTGGAGATGGGTATAAATTGTACTATAATGGACTTGTTAGCAATAGAAACGGTGTCGGCATCATCCTCAGCCATCTTCAGTAGTAGAAGTCAACAGGATCTCTGATAGACTAATGAAGATAAAACTCTGCATTGGTCAATCAATACTACACATCCTATCAGTATATGCTCCTCAAACGGGTTGCAAGGAAGAAGAAAAAGATGACTTTAGAGCTATCCTTGATGAAGCTTTAATAGAAACCTAAGGATGACCTAGTCATAATTGGTGGTGACTTAAATGCGCATGTGGGGAAAGCAAGAGATAGCTACAAAAGGCATCATGGTGGTTTTGGATATGGATAAAGAAATGATGAAGGAGAACACGTACTGAAATTTGCGCAAGCCTTCGACCTTGCCTTAACCAACACCTACTAGAGGAAAAAAGACAGTCATTTAATAACATATGAAAGTGGTACTAGGAAAACACAGATAGATTACATGCTAATCTCTCGCAGAAGATTAAAAGATGTAATAGACTGCAAAGTCATCCCAGGAGAAGATATCGCCGCGCAACACAAGCTACTAATCATGGATTTACAAATCTCAAATAAATCCACTCAAAATAAGATAAAACTGGAACCATGCATCAAATGGGGCAAATTAAAAACAATGACAGATGCCTTTGCAATCAATGCAAACATTGAAACAATAAATTGCTCACAAGTCAGTGAAAAAATCTGGACAGACCTTTCATCCAGATTAATAGACACTGCAAAATCGACGCTAGGCTTGACAAGAGGAGGCAACAATTCACACAAAGAACTATGGTGGTGGAATCAAGAGGTACAAACCACTATACAGGAGAAAAAAGCCCTTTATAAAATATGGTACAAATCCAAAAATGCAGATGACAAGTCAAGATACAAAAAATCCAAGAGATTAGCTACAAAGGCGGTGGCTAGGGCCAAATCTATGGCATACGATGACATGTACGAAGATCTACATACCAAAGAAGGGCAAAATAAAATATACAGATTAGCCAAACAGCGAGAAAAGAACTCTAGGGATATAAACGGAGCTCCGAAAGTAATCAAAAATAAAGATGGGAAATTGATAATAAAGGAAAAAAAAATAATGAATAGATGGAAAGAATATTTTCAGGAGCTTCTCAACTTTAATTCCCACATATTGCATCTCGACGAACACTCCCCTTGTCAAAACCTTGTACAACCTATAACAGAACAAGAAATAATCACATGCCTCAAGCATATGAAAAACAACAAAGCTAGGGGTCCAGACGATATTCCAATAGAAAGCCTTAAAGCACTAGGAGATGATGGAATACATCTCCTCACAAATCTGTACAATAAAATACTTGGAAATGAAGAGGTTCCCCAAAAATGGAGGCAGAGCTATCTAGTTCCTATCTTCAAAAATAAAGGGGATCCACACAATTTTCAAAATTACAGGGGCATAAAACTAATGTCACACTGTCTAAAACTATACGAAAAAATAATAGAAAAAAGATTAAGAGACATAATCGAAATAGGAGAGACTCAGTTTGGCTTTATGCCTGGAAAATCAACAACCGATGCTATCCATGCAATTAGGCAAATGAGTGAAAAATACACGGAAAAGAACAAAAAGCTACACATGGTCTATCTCGATCTAGAAAAGGTCTTCGATAGAATCCCAAGATAACTTATCTGGTGGGCGCTACGCCACAAAAAAGTTCCCGAAAAATATATAAGAATAATACAGGAAATGTATATGGGACATACAACAATGGTCCGTAGCACAACAGGTACTTCAGCAGGCTTCACAATAGCCGAAGGAGTTCATCAAGGGTCGGCTCTCAGCCCACTTCTCTTCATTACAGTAATAGATGTATTAGCACAGTCTATACCTCAAACAGTACCGTGGAATATGATATTTGCAGATGATATTGTGATACTTGCCGAATCCAAGGATGAAATGAAAGAAAGGTTAGTGAATTGGATAAATATCCTAGAAACGCACGGATTAAAAGTAAATAGAGAAAAGACGGAGTATATGCTGATAGGAGGAGATGAAACGGAGAGTATTGATATAAATGATTGGCAGATATCCGCAATTGAAAGCTGCAAATATTTGGGCTCCACTATACAAACAAACGGCACAATAGAAAAAGAGATAAAGAGTAAGATTAATCAAGGGTGGTAAAGTGGAGATCTTTATCTGGAGTGCTATTTGGCAAAAGAATCCCACACAAATTAAAGGGAAAAATTTACAGTTCCATAGTACAACCAACTATTCTATATAGTTCGGAAACATGGCCAACCAAAGAATCAGACGAGAGAAGTCTACAAACTATGGAGATGAGAATGCTGAGGATGATTGCTGGGGTAACAAGAAAGGATAAGGTGCGCAGTACAAGAATACTAAATAGTTTAAAGGTAGTGTCCATTAAGACTAAGTTAATGGTAAACAGACTTAGGTGGTATGGGCACACAATGAGAAGGCCTATGAACTACATAGGAAATAAAGTTGAAAGTTTGGAAGTGATGGGCAAACGTAAAAGAGGAAGGCCAAAACTTCAATGGGGCCATAAAGTTAGAGCCAATATAAAGAAGTATAAAATAGATAAAAGAGATTGTATGAATAACATAAAGTGGAAAGAGATGTTGAAGGAGCTTACCACCAGAAAAGGTGAAAGCTAAAGAGAAAAAAAAAATATTAAAAATGGATTTCGATTTTATTTATAAAAAAAATGATTTTAGATATAACTTTTTTTAAAATTATAACATTTTATTTTTGTTAAAGACGCCATTTTATATCAGATCGAATCGGGAAATTTTATAATATTGACCGATAACTGATATATTAAAATGGGTGAAATATCGGCCCGATCCGATAAAAAATATCTGTACATCCCTAATAATATATATATTAAAGTTTTTATAGTGTATATATATGTGGAAAATAGTTTTAGCAATGAAATAAGCATTTTTTCTTGATTATTAATTCTAGTTAGGATCAAAAATTAATTTATAGGCTCCCCTTGTCTAGTTCAGATAATAAAATTGTATTAGATTATACTGTAATTCTTTTAAGAAATGTTTTGATTAGTAAATGATAATCAGGGATCCAAACTGAAATGAAAAGGGTTCGGGTTCAGATAAAAAATCGATAAATCAGTTAAAAAATAATATCGGTTCGAACCTCTAAAAACGGGTTAAACTTTTTATAGAAAAATTTACATTACACATTACTTTTTATTTCATCAAAAAAACGTATACATAAAATGTTTATTATATTATTAGTTGCATATTGTGAATAATATCTAATTTATAAATTAAAACAAATAAATATCAGTTAAACTTATATATTAAATATTATTTACTTTTAAAAAATAATATTGAGCCGTAAAAAAAAATTTCTACCTTAGTAACTTGAGGTATTAACAATATACACAAATTATGCCTGATACTTATCAATCAAAATTGAATTATAATAAACTTTAAAGGAATTCAGTTCGCAATATACTAGTAGAGCCCTGCAAAGTTATTTTTTGGCGGCCCGAGTCCGACTTTAAAAAAATTTCTGTCAGATCCCAAACACAAATTTTTTGTTCCCAACCCTAAAATTATTTTCGAATTTGGATGCGTTCTATAAACAATTTTATAAATATAAAATCTGAGGATATTTAATTCAATAGATCTTAGATACAACAAAAAGTATAAAATGAAAATAACTATTAGAAAAATAGTTTTCTAGATTGTTTGCTAAAAGTATATTATAATATATATTTTATTTTACCAGATAAAAATTAATGTAAATTTATGAAATCGTTTATTTAGAAATGGAAATTACGTAAATGAATGAATGACATGTGTATGATTAAATTAACATGTGATTTAGATTGATTAACTGAAACAAATTAATGAGCACTGTACTAATATTTAATTTTCGGGTTGAGTCAGGCATCTCTTACAGCCAGACCCCAAGTAAGTCTTCAATGCCCGAACTTGACCCGACCATCAGTAAAAACCTCTATAGACTAGTAAAAAAGTTCACATTAATAAGCATAAAATTATGAGGTTCAAACCGTTTTAGTAGTTTTATAGCGGTTTGGATAGACAATGGTTCGATTAAAAATAAAGGTTAATACCGGGTTAAATGCTCAGTTCGGATCTTTGCTGATTTATGCAATGGGTTATAAAACAATACATATAAAAATCTCCTGGTTGAAATCGTTACTGGAGATCCTTGGATAGTATCTTATTTATCCCACAAATTTCTTAATAAATCAAATCATCCTTCAATCTTTAAATATACATCAGTTTCCAGTTTGTACGCTCAAACTTTTAATAGAGTTGGACTATCTCTTCATACCGTCAGACCTAATTGTACTGGGTGTCTAAGAGCACCTAAATCTAGTGTTGTAAACGAACGCGTTCATTCGTAGTTCGTTTATTTGAAAAAAATGATGAACGGCGTTCCTTTTATTTCTGACGAACTTTGAACGTGAACGCGTTCCTTTTTTATAACCAACGCGTTCGAATTTAACGTTCGTTCAATTTTAAAAATACTTTTTTTATTTTTATTTATTTGAAAAATTTAATATTTCCGAATTTTTTTTAAAAAAGTATTATTTATATTTTTTAATCGGCTGCGTATTTCCTTTTCACATTTAAATTTTTTTAACACATAGTTTATTAATTTGAATATTACTGTTTATATTTAAATTTAATAGATTAGCATAAGCATGGATATTATTATTTAATCCTCATCATCTGATTCTGTAAATCCAAAATCAGATGAATTATCATTACCATGGCCAAATATGATATGTTTTACAGTAACATCCTATATTGAAGGAACTATTCAATGCTTGCCAAGTGTAAAATGTGCCCAAAAAGTATTATATTGTCAAAATCTTCAAGTTCCAATTTAAAACGACATTTGATTGTAATATTAATTATTTTATATAATATAACTAAGTAAAATCATTAAATTTGAAGAAAAAATGCATTTGGGATATTTGACCCCAACAATAACGATAGTTATTTTAAAATTAAAAAAAATTAGTGGCCTCAAATATGGTCAACCATTGATAGACCATATTAAATGGGATTAATAAAAGGTATTAAACCTATTCAATTAATTACATATATTTTATTTTTTTTAAAGATTTGAACATATATATGAAGATCAATATGTTCTTTCTACAATTAAACATCCAGTATTCAAGCTTCAATGGCTATGGATAAAACTTCCACAGAACGAACCTATTAAAAATAAACGTATAGCGTTATTGAAAAAAATGCTTTGAAAACCTTAGAAATGATAATGCAAGAACTGTTAATTTCGAGATATCCTTTTTTTTGTCGAGGAAAAGAGAATGGATTGGAGGAGGATAACTTATCTCAATTCTTTGAAACAAATAGCAAAACAATAAATGTTTTTAATAAATTCTCCACGTTAAAAGAGTTATTTATTAAGTATAATACCGCAATCACCTCATCTACCCTTGAGCGCGTTTTTAGTATAGCTAATGCCGTATCAACTGCCAAGCGTTCTTGTCTATCAGATGAAAATTTTGAAAAATATTGTTATTAAAAATTAATAAGAAAAATTTTTATAAATAAAAATATCTTTTTATTTGATATATTATTTTGAATTTATAATTATATTATCAAAATAAAACTATATTATTTTTTAACATGGCTAATATTGTGTTAATAAATATAAGACATTTATTTATATTAGAAAATTTTAAAAAAAATTTATCATAATTTTGAACGCGTTCCTTTTTTATGAAAGTGAACTTGAACATGTTCGATATTTTTAGAAATGTTTACAGCACTACCTAAATCTAATTATTTAAAAATTACTATTGTAAGTACAAGGCACGTCTAATTAGTGAAGAAGTGCATATCCTAATTTTCTTTTCGTTTTTGTCATTATCAATCAGGGATGAGCATAATTAATCAAAAATCGTAATTAATTTCTAATTACAATTACTTTGTTTATTTAATTATAATTACTAATTCCTTTTCTAAAAACGGTAATTAATCACTAATTACATGTAATCGTTAATTATATAACATAATTCCTTTTCTAAAAATGGTAATTAATTATATGTTATCGTAACTTTCCAAAGTAATTATAATTTTTTTATAGTAAAATTAAAGTAGGATTTAATTAAAAATCATAAAAAATAAAGAGAAACTTTATTAAATTGCATATAATGTAATTATAATAATTTATTCTTTATTTCAATTTTTTATGTTTGAAGGTGTTACTCATTCAATAAGTACAACAAGCATTTGCATATAAATTATTATAAACATTATATTTATACATTTGGTGATAAGAAATTCAATCAAATTCGGTGTTACAAAATAGTATATCATATAAAACATATACCCTTTTTTAAAGTGTCTATTTTTCAAACAATTCATTATTTAAAAGGTATTATATAATACTTATTTAGCAAAGCTAAAGTCTTTCTAAATGCGTTAATGAAACAACAATGCTTTCGACTTTTTACAACAAAATTTACAATTAAATAATTAGCCACTTGGTGACCTATTTGGATAACTTTGAAAAAAATTTGGTAAAGTTTGTAGAATATTTGTTTTGATAATTCACTAAAAAAAATTTAATGATTAAATTGTGTTAACATAAAGGATGTTTTTTCTAAAGGAACAAGAATAGGAACAAAAAGTTAGATTTTATAAAACCTTCACATGTTTTAGAAAATTAATGTTGGTTTGATTGTGGCCTTTACGATTTGATAGTAGAGTGTACAAGCAGCGTTTATGGTTTTATCAGCTATTTGAAACATTTGGATTGAATATTATTTAAATTTATCTTAAACTGATCGCAAGATTGTGTTTGAAGAGCAATTATCGGAGTTACCGTGTCAGAATCCAAGCTAAAGTGATTAAGAATCATTCATTATTTTTCCACTAAAAATATGAATGAAATTGCAATTAACAGTTTTAACATAAAAATACGAATGAATGATTGCAATTATTCAGTGTTTTAATAAAAATTAATATAATAAGAGAACTGGTAATTCTCCTAATTACATGCCTGAAAAAATGGAACAAGTTATATAGATACTAATTACAAAAAGTATGTAATTAATTACTACCCAACTTTGCTATCGATTGTAAATAAGGTGCCTTTTTATACCTCTTAAAGTCAAATGAATAATGACCATTTTTACACAATAAAAAATAACTCTTATATATAAAATGTTTTGATGATTAGAAAATTTTTGATAACCATATTTAATATGCCTTCAAAACATCTTGATCCCACAGAACTTGCCGATGTTCCGGCTACTTAATAAGATAGATTTCTATGAAACATAATTAACATTTACATCGTTTTATTAAGTAAAATTTACTTGACATATTCATTGGTAATATGAAAAATAAAAATATGATTATACAAGATCATGTATAACAAACATTGCAATTTTTTTTCAGAAACAATAATTATATGAATTTAACCGGAATATGAAGGCAAATAAAATTAGGCGTTTTGTAGCAAAGTAATGAAGTGATTGGAAAAAAATAAATAATAAATATTAGGGAGTTCTTTGCAATCAATAATTAACAAAAGGATAATAATAAATACCATAAATGACTTTAATTGTATATAATAAATACATATAATTTTAAAGGGCTAACACATTAAAATTATTTTTTAAAATGTAATATCAAAAGATAGGTTATCTTTTAAAACTAATGATTAGTATAAAAAAAACAAGTGTATATTTGATGTTTCATCATAAAAATTAAATTAATTATAAGCAAATATTTTGAAGGATTATTATTAAAATAGAAAATTTAAAAAAAGGATTATATTAGTTTATATATATTATTATAATATTATTAGTTAGGTTACAAAAAAAGAAAACATAAAAATATTTAAAAATTGGTCGCATGTGCCCGTTCCTAACTAATAATTAAAATAAATATATTTACACTAGTATAAAAATAAAATGAATTTTCTCTAATTTAAAAATAAATTCATTCGTTCGTCTTAGCGATTTGATGTTTTAATGAGTAAAAGAGATGTAAAATATCGACTAAATTGTTTTCCATCACTCTTTCTCTCTTATCTACTCATTTAAAATCTGATCCATCTGTGTCCTCCTAAAGGCTAATCTCATCACTTCTCTTTATCAACTGAAGAATGGTCTTCTTCGTCGCTCTCTTCCTCTGTAGTGTATTCCAAGTCCGATAAGTTTTGTTTATTCGCCTTATTAGATTTGCCCTTGCTTTTGTTTGTTGAATTAACCTTTTCGCCCGAAGGGGAATTATTGTCAGTGTGAGATAGCTCATCGTCCTCATGTTTTCCCCTGACATTGTCATCTTCATCGTTCGGTTCTGAGTCAGAGATATCCCATTGAGGGTGATTTTCTTCCATCTTTTTTTCTTCCTTAACGTCAAGCTTTAAAAAATTTTTAAATATGAGATTTTGATGTAAGATAAATAAAACTAATATCAATTGACAGAAGTTTTATTAAAGATTCTTATTATAATATTTTCCTTTTTCTATTATGTCTTATATTTTTTATTATCTTTTTTCCAAATTCTTTTACATCATAATAAATTTTCTTCTGAAAAATCGATAATCAAAAAAAAAATATATATATAATTCCGAGAAAAAATAAATTCCATGAAAAATATTGATAAATTTCAAAAAATCGATAATCAAAAATAATATTGATAATTCCGAGAAACAAAAATAAATAAATAAAAAAAAATGATGAACATAACATCTCTCCTCTTAGAGAATGTCTGTTCTTTTCCGCATTTGATCTTGGTGTCTTCTCCACCGGCCCTTGGAAGTATCCACAACGTATATGCACCTCCCCGCACGAGCCACTATTGTTCCTTTTATCCATTTTACCTTGTCGTTGTACATTTTGGCCCACACCGGTTGTCCTATCCTAAATTGACCTCTCTGTTCCGTTTGTGTATCGTTTGATCGGCTTTCTTGGGTGGTCTCTTTAATCATTTCAAGATGATTCCGAGCATTCCGTCCGAACATCATCTGTGCTGGGGTTTCTCCTGTAGTCGTATGCTGGGTATTTCTATAAGCTAATAAGAATTCGTTTAGTATTTTTTTTTTATTTTCGTATCCTGCTTCCATTTCCTTCCCCTTCCGAAGTCGAAGTTGAAGATCTTGGATGTGAATTTAGTCTTGTTGGAATTCGTAAATTGTTCCCTCTTCGGTAGCTCTATTTGTTGAATTATTCTGATCGTGAGTCTCTTAATCTTTTTGTTGCCAATTTCTCCTAATTTTATCGGAGGTGCTGATACATCGTCGTCCCAGATGTTATATTGAAATATTTTTAATTTACATATATCGAATTTGTATTTTTTGATTTTGGGTGAATATTTTCCCTTATTTTTGTCCTTTAAAATATTTTTCACTTTTATATTGTCATTATTTAATTGATTTTTTCACTATTTTTATCTTTTAAAATATTTTTTATATCTTGATAATGTCTAGTTGGAGACTTGGGTATTACATCAATTTTATTACACTCATGTAAAATTTTAGTGGTTTTAACGTATAATTTATTCTTTAATAAATACTTAGAACATATCTTTCGTTTTGACGGGACTTGCTCTTTTTTCTCGATACTTGATACAAGTGCTAAACTGTAAGAATTTACAGAATCGTTAATGGAAGTCATATGACAAGGCATAACATTTGGTAATTTTTTTGAGTGGGGTGCTTTTTTCCGGAATTTTTATCGAATATTGTTACGTACTTCTCCGTTAGGGCTTTTAATTCTTGTTCCACATAATATATTTTGTTATTATTATCGTATGTGTTTTCTGTTCCTGCTAATATTGATTCTTTCCATACCAATTCTCTGAATTCCTTTATCCAGTTTATACCTACCAATGAGGGTCCATCAGCTTTCACTATTATTAAGGGTAGATATTTTATGGTTTCTTTTATTTGAACCTTTACGTCCACGCTGCCTATGATGGCGATTTCGTTACCTTCGTACGTCTTTAATTTTGTGTCCGAATCATGAATTGTTTTATTGGAGTTGATTTTATTCCATGTCTTTAATGAAATGATTGATACTGATGCTCCTGTATCTAGGATCATGTTTGTTTTCTTACCTTCTATATTTAAATTGATTTTGAATTTTTCTTTACAAGATTTGATATCCATCGAGTATATACACGATATATCTTCCTCTTTGTCTCTTTGATCGCAATATTTAATCAGATGTTTATCGCTACCGCATTTGAAGCAAGTTTTTTTTGTCTGACTGTAATATTGATTGTCGTTGTATTTAAAGTTATTATTGTTGGTGTTGTAATTTCCCCTTGTCTTATCGTAAGAGTATTGATACTTATTTTTATGATAATAATTATTGTTGTCGTACCAATTTTTATGTCGGTAGTTATCATTGTTATTATATTTGTTGTCATTATTATTATATTTGTTATCATTATTATAATATTTGTTATCATTATCATATTTGTACCGCGGATTAACGTTATTATATCTTCCATAATTCGAGTTGTCATAATTATTATACCTAGTAAATCTGTTATCGAATCTCGTTTGGTGGGGATAATTGTCACTGTAGCGTTCCTGAACTCTGTTATTATTATTATTACTATTATACCTTTTATTGTCTTGTATATAGTTTATTTCCTTATTTTCTATTTTGTCTTCCTCTTGTTCCTTTCCGGCTTGACAATAAAATATACCTTTTGTTTTTTCCTTTTCGTCTATCAAGTCCATGGTTCGAAGGAGTTTTTCAATTTCCTCTATACCCATATCTTCTTCGAGTAATAACTTTGTCGTGATATCTTTGCTTTCTAAACCATTAATTATTTGCATTTTTAAGTTCTCTTCATATTTTTCTTTGAAGTTGCATTTAAGTGCCAAAGATTTTAGTGAATTTAGAAATTCTAAATTGGTTTCCCCGTCCCTTTGGGTACGTTTATAAAATTGAAAACTTTCCAATGGTGCAATTTTTTTATCGTTGTCTATTAGCGAATCTAGCATATCGTCGTATTTTATTTTATTAATTGACTTCGGAGCGAATTTTAAAATAACCTTATTTAAGTCATAGGTTGATAGTGCCGATATCAATGCTGCTCTCTTTTTCTCGTTGTCCGATATATCATTTAGTGTAAAGTAGGCTTCTAGTTTTATTCGAAAAGTCGTAAATGAGTCATTGGTTTCTTTGACCGGAATTACTGCTGGCATTTTAGACAATTTTATATCAAATTTAAATTTTCTCTTTTTTTATATATATTTCCGCGCGGGTTCTTCCGTATACATAGTCGCCATTATAATATTTTCCCTTTTCAATTATGTCTTATATTTTTTATTATCTTTTTTCAAAATTCTTTTACATCATAATAAATTTTCTTCTGAAAAATCGATAATCAAAAAAAAATATATATATAATTCCGAGAAAAAATAAATTCCATGAAAAATATTGATAAATTTCAAAAAATCGATAATCAAAAATAATATTGATAATTCCGAGAAACAAAAATAAATAAATAAAAAAAAATGATGAACATAACACTTATCAAAAAATTTGGCTTATTAATTTTAATTTTTTCCTCAAAATATAAATAAAAAAGTCATGAAACCCGGGTCAAATTTTTTTAAAAAACCTGGCCTGGTAAATCCGCGCTTAAAATTTCTTCTGCAGTTATGATATAAATACTAATGCAATAGAAAGCAGCAACTCCTTATGCCATATTATTACAAAAGTAATTTCATTAGTAAACAATGTGCACATAGGTAAGCGGAAAATAATTCCCCGGAAATCCCCAATAATAATTCTTAGAAAATAATTCCCAGGAATTGATTTTCTTAAAAATTTTAAACATTGAATTTTAGGATTTATATTTCGTGAATATATATAGGGAATTTTTTCTCCTATTTTATTAATTTTGTAATTTTTAATATCTTAATAAAGGGAGATTTTTTTCTGGGGAATTATTTTTCTAGATTCGTTTACATATTATAATTTAAAGATTGAATAAATAAAATTTACTTTGACATTTTTTGTGAAATCACAATCTAAATAAGAATCTGATCGTAAAACGACGGTAAACGCGTATATACCCGGTTTAGGGGGAGCTGGAAATTTCAATTGAAACTTTTCAAAATAAATTTTTAATTTGAATATCTCATTTAATTAGGCATATTATTTTAAAAAATTTCAAAGTATGTTATGAAGAGTTAGAATGAATAAATAATAGTTGCTTGAAATTGCAACACTTAAGAGGGCATTTACTCCAAAAAATACCATTTCAAAAATATAAAATTGAAAATGAAGGATTATTTTATCAAACTGTAGTTAGCACTATTATAAAAACAAATAAATCATGAGATATAAAAAAGTTGGCTATTTAGAGTAAATATTTATTCTAATATCAAAGTTATATTAAGTGCTAAGGCTAGAAATCTGCAAAAATAAGCCAAGTACAATCGAGTTTGTGGAATTCTAAATATTTTTTTTGCATCAAACTGGGGGAGGGGGATGCTAAATTAAAAAAAAAATAGGGTCATAATTTTATTCCAATTTTTTTTATAATATTTAGAAGTCAGCAATTTACAATTTCAAATACCTTTATTTACAATATCAAAACAAATCAACGTCATTCTATTAATAAATCGTAATTCAAATATTTACAACGTATAAATATTTTGTGATCTTGGATTGTATGGAAAAAAAAATATATTAAATGTTAGTTCTCTAAGCATTTTTATGGACTTAATTAATCTTCTTTAAATAAATGAGCATGGTGGAACAATTTATATTATGTTTAGGATCGGTTTGGCGGGATATATAAGCCGGACAAATAATTATTTTAAAAAAACAGGCCCGATTAAGACCTATAATTAGGGCTAGAGTGAAAAAAAAGCTAAATTAAGTGGTATGTAAGTAGAAAATACAATTCCTAACTTTATTATAGAATTCTAACATCATTTAGATCAAATATAGTGTTTAAAAAACTAAGGTATAAAAATATAATATATTACATAATTTATTTTTAAGGTTTTTTAATGCAAAAAGGTGGGGATAGAGGTACGAATGAAGGAATTTTGACCTAACTTAATTTAGACCAAAATTCGAGTTAAAAAACCCGTATAATAAGGAAATATTTGCTAGTGTTAATTTATTAATATTTTGAAAGTAAGGTGACGAGTGACGAATGACGATAACCCGAAGTATATCTAAGTGCTAAGATATATAAAATATTGATTAAAACCTCTTCAGAATTGTTGAGACTGGTAATGTAAAGTGGAGCTGTGATAAGGGTACTGTGCTTTCGATCGGCCATATATAACCACCATCTTTCAAATTTTTTCTATAAATATATAATATATATGATAATTAGAGCTATGTCACCAGTGGGGGAGGGGGTTAACTTAGGAAGTTAACTAGTTAAAGAAATTGTAAATGGTATGAATAAGTATTAAACCAGTAAAATCAGGTTTGTAAATTAAGTCCAAATAAAGGAGCATAAATTATCTGTATAATTCTAATTATATCTAAATTATTGAATATTTTCTTTTTTAAAATTTGTGATTTCATAATGGTTTCTTATGCATGAAAATTATAAAAGATTTTTTACCAAACATATTTGAATTTTAAGTAAAATTTGATCAAAAATCTTTCTTCTTTAAAAAAAACAAAAGTTTTTTTTCAAAGTTGGGAAAAATTATATTATTTAAAATTTAAGTGATATATAAATTTAAAAAGTGATTTATAGATGTGGAAATAATAAAAAATAAAAGGTCCCGTAAAGAACATATTAAATACTTACAAATAATTTTAAATATTTATGAGTACGTCTTAATATTTACAAATAGTTTCGAATAATGTTACGATGATAAATTTTGAATAAGAAAAATTTCAAATAATAAGAATAATTTGATCGAATAATTGATAAAAAATTATTCTACGAATAATATATTTTCCTTATTCAATATTCGATTCAAATTAGGTATAATTCTAATAAATAAGTTTTATATATTTATTTAGTTTATTATTTTTTTTAATATATTATAAAAGTATTATATACAGTGATGAAAAAAAAACAATATAATTATATTATCGCTTTTAAAATATATATTAGAGATCTGCAAAATTACCCGGGGTTAGGGCTGGATGGGGTCTTATATTTTTTAAAAAGATTCGGACCGGATCGAGTCGGACCCTAAAATTTTTTAAAATATATTTAAATTTATCGATTTTATGTTGTGTTTTTTATGTAAAATAAAAATATTTGATTTTATTTATAGAATAAACGCCATATAACGTATATCTTTTATTTTGAGTAATTATAAAAATTAATTAGGCTGGTAAATTTTTTTTTAAAAAAAAATTGGATTCGGGCTGGGCCGACAAAATTTTTTTAAAAAAAGCGGATTTGGGCTGAGCCGGGCAGGCAAAACTTTTTTTAAAAAATTTCGGTCCGAGCCGGGCTTGAAAAATTAGGCCCGATGCTCACTAATAAATATTATCATTTGTTTTTTTTGTTTTATTAATTTAAAAAGGAAAAATAAAGATTTCCTAATTTTATATTTTATTTACTTTAAATTAATAAATAAAATGTTTATATTGAATTGGTAGAATGAAAACAAAATATAATCATAAATATTAAATAATTATATTTTTAATCATTTTTATTCTGTGATTTTGATTTATATAACATTCTTGAATTTTTAATACTTTTTAAGATTTTAATCATTTTTATTCGATTTCTGTTAATTATATTTGAAAGAATTATATGTATGTAAAATATTGAAAGCTAAAATTTGTGTGTAATTATAAGAAATCATAGTATAGAATTAAGAAATATTATAATTTAAAAGTGCAAAGTAAGGTTAAAAATTAAGTTCACAGTGTTTCTTCTCATGGGAATAAGTTTATGACAAAATTTTCAATAATTCGAAAGTTAAAAAGTATGAATATAAAAATTATTAAATTAAGTTATTAATATTTATAATAATTAATATATAAGAGATATAAGTAAAAAGTTAAAATTTGTATATAATAAAAAGTTTACATTTGTTCTTAAAAGTTAAAATTAGATAAAATATAAAGTTTCCAATAATAATATATAAACATACCCCCCCCCCCACCATAAAAAATCATTTTGATTTTAACTTTCGGTAATCGCATTTAATTATCTCCCACCAGAAATAAATATAAATAAACCTCGGGGAAATAAGGGCAATGAACTTCGAAGGTGTCTTTAGGCTTGCCTCCTTCCAACATAACCCTTTCTCGCCTACGAATCGTCTGCTGGAATTCCTCGTCCCATAGTTCGTCTCCGCCTTCCTCGTTCTCGTTATTATTATCCATATCTTCGTTATTCCCCCTTTCATTTTGAGTCACTTTAGCGGTTTTATCATTCTTTCCCGCTTTCCCATCTAAATCCTTAGTTTTGTCATTTATTTTCTTATCATTTTCGGTTTTTCTCTTCGATTGGTAAGGTCGATAATCGATGATGTCGTCGTCGTAATCTTCGGCGGCGGCCTCTTGTCCGGCTAACAAGATGGCATCCTTGAGTTCGCGTTTGCGCCTGTGCGAACTTCCGTCACCATCTTGAGAGGAGTAATCTGAGCTGTCTTCCGAACTGCTGCTGCTGCCGCTACTACCATCACTGTAAGATGATGAATCATGTGATGGAGATATGGGAACTTTTATTTTTTATTTTTGAACAATTTATCTTTGTTAGGAAAATATTTGAAAAGGCATAGTTCTTTAAGCCTATCTCGTAAAATATAATAATAAAACCAATTAAATTTTTTCCGAGAATTTAAGAAGAAAATGATGGTAACTAGTCTAAATTATAAACAATCATCAAACCCTTTTTGTCCCTTTTCTTCGTCTTGTTCCCTTGGATTGTATTACTTTTGGTTTCTTCCTTATCTCCATCAGTCTTGTGGACCATATCTTTTATGTCTTCCTTCTCTGTTTGTTCTGGCTTAATATTGTTTGCACCTTCTCCGATGGACTGGTTAGCGACGCTACTTTTTTGAGAGGCAGTAACGTTATTTTTATTTTTTTTGACGTTCTGGTGGGCATTGGTTTTGTGTTTCCCGCCTTTGTTGAAAGCTTTCTTTTTCGGCTTGTAAGTGGGTTGCTTAGGAGCAACTTTGGTAGCATTTCTAGTGTTTGAATTCATATTTTCGAGTTCTTCCACGTCTTCCAATTTCTATGTTAGGGAATTCAAAAAAAAATATTATATATATATGTACATACATATAGGCTATAGAGCTAAAACTCTCCAAACTTGACATTTTCTCAGAAATTAATTTTAAAAAATTAATGAAGCTAATAAAAAGATTAATAAGAAATATTAAATAAACTACATATATTACCCTTCTAAATTTCGATTACTTTACCGTACGGCATTAAATCTACCTTAAATATTGATTTTTTATATTATTTTAAATAAAATTATAATTGAAATAGTCAAAAACCATAATTCAATTCTACCACAATAAAAGACATTATATAATAATTAAAAATTAATTTTATCCCCCTTTTGAAAAGTTTAACTATTTAAAAATTTTTAAATAGTTAAACTTTTCAAAAGGGGATATATCATTAAATTATTTTTCAGTTTTTATTAGAAAAATTCTTAATATTGTGCTGGGGTGAGCATATTTGTTAAATTTTTTCTTTCTAACTATAAATATTTATAACTTTATCGTCTTCGATTTGCATTAAACAATTTCCATTAGGCAACGAAGAATTAATTTCGGTATTAAATTGAGATAAGGCATGTTGATTGTCTACCATATAACTCATGTCTTTGCGTACCAGCGTTACAGTTACCGTTACTATCGAATTAGCTGTTATAGTAGTCGGGTCTTCATCATCCATTACTATATATTTGTATTATTATATTATGTACTTCTCTCTATAATATAAAATAAGGTTTCCCTATCTAGGTAAGGCTCCTTATATCGTCATGATTCGGTTATAACTGAAGGATAAATATAATTTCAAACTAAATTTGTTCTTTTTTTCTCAATTAAAATATAAAGTATAATCTATACCTTTAGTCACTATCTCCAATTCAACATGTGGCATTTTTGATAATATGAAAATAACGTCTCCATATTCCCTGTCCGTTAGCTTAGAAAATAAAGATCTCCTATCATTATCTTTCATTGTTGCTAGATCTTTTATAGTTCTGATAGAATACTGATATTTTATGATAGCGGGAGGTAAATGGGGGAGGGGGGGGGGGTAAAAACAATTTAAATATTTTATTAAAAATATCATAAAAGTATAAAAGATATTTTTGATGAATTTTGTTTACTAAGTGAAATAGACTTATAAGAAAAGATAAGTAGAGAAAATGTATAATAAATTTTATCGATCATTATTAATAATAATCATGAGTACTTTGTCAATTTCTTAAAATCTCTTTTTTTGTAAAAAAAATTCATTTCAATTATAACACGCATAAGGTAGAGAAAAAAAATGCACAAAATATTTTAATAAATTGGATAGCATAAAATGTAGTTAGTCAAGCTTTACATCTACAGTGTTAATAAAATTCAATAATTTTTTGTTTAAAGCAAAGACTAATTTTATTTAATAGCTGCTTGTGTTTGAAACCTAATAGAAAGTCATTTTAATTAAAGGGTATATTTATGATACCTCAAAAAAATAAATCATAAAACTTTTTTATTGATGCAATGCTTTAAAAGATCTTCCCCAATGTGCGGCAATTGAAGTAACGGACTTTTAAATTCCCAAAGAGCTTGAATAATCATTTGACTCGTTTTCATTATATTTTCCATAGTTTCAAGTCTAGGGCTGTGTTGAACTACCAAAAAAGGAATAAATATATATAATATACAAGGATGTCCCCACAATCATAGTAGCCATTTCTGACTCTTTAAATCAACTAAATTGTTTTGCTCTAATTATTGATAATAAGAACCCCAATATAGTTTTAAAAAAAATATAGCCTTTAAGGGATCAATTATCTTCTTCTCCGTTTTATGGCAATTTCCAGGTTTACCCGGGTAGGCCTAAGGGATCAATTAAGAGGTTCAAATATTTTATTATAACTACAATCTCTATTCGAAGATTATTTAAATAAATGTTTTGAATATTTGATAAAAAATTAATTACTTATTTTCATTTGAATTAAAAAATGAATATATATAAAATAACTTCTTCCAGAATTAGCAAAAGCCATCAATTGAGCCACGCAATTTACCATCTCATTTAACAAGGCAGGACACTTTTTCAAGATATATTTTTTGTCTTCGAGTTTATTTATAAATAAATGCAACAAATTAAATATGTTAAAAAATTTTAACAAAATAATATTTACAATAAAGATCACATCATTTTTTAAAAATCCTGCGTTTGAATTCGAACTTAGGAGATATCTTGATCATGATTGTCGTACAATATAACATTAAAAACTTTGATTATCCAAAATATTTTTTTAAAAATTCGAAAAGTTTTAAAATTTTTTAAATAAAATCTTGTATGTTAAATATTGAAATTGTGTTGAATTTTATAATGGATACGTTTTTATTTTTAAATTTAAAAAAGATTATTTTTTCTTTTTCAATAAAGTTTCAAAAGTTTGTGAATCAAATTTTTTGATATTTTAGACACAGCTTTAACAAAAATGAATGTATCACTTATTTTATTCGCCGCGAATTTGCGCTAACTGTGATTGCAGGGTAATCCATCAATATTCTTGGAGGAAATGTATTAGATAAGGCCGCGGCGTAGGTAGGAATGGCAAATTTCGTATGTTCATCCCACACAGGGAGCAAGAAACACATCAAGCATAAATCGGAAAATGAAACTTTTTTTAAAGCATGCCTAAATAATAGGGGCTAATGAGTAGGGACGAGACTAATTATAAGGCAAATCATAGATAATAAAATTTTTTAAAATAAAATATTGGGCTAATAGACCAAAAACCTAAGCACGCTAAATTCAAAACTTTATTTTAATTCCTATAAGTCTCGCTTATACATCCGTTTTCATCATATAATCCGGTAAGTTCCAGATTATAGCTAAATAAAATTCTAAACCTCCAGAAAAATATAATCATGTATAAGCCCAATCATTTCATAAAACTAACCCTAATCGGCTTTAGTCTCAAAATTAGTCTTAGATTAAACCGGATACTTAGAAATTAAGTTAAAGTAAAAATTGATTTATAATTAATAAATAAAATGTAACAAAATAAGTAAGAATTTATATTAAAAATCTTTTATTGACAAAAAAAAATTATATAATAAAAGAAAAATGCCTGAACAAAATAAAATATAGTATGTATTATAATTTGAGTAAAATAAGTAATTATATTTAAAAACGCCATACGCCCTGATGGTATATCCCTCATTCCCTGGACTAATGGTCTCCCGTTGACCTGGGACTATAATTATGTAGATTTCGCAACAAAGTTCAACCTCTCATTTTCTGGTATCGAAAAGGCAGATTTCCTTAAAAAACAAATATGCCGGCCTCACCAACACAGTATTCATACGAATCGTTACCAATTTATTCATGTTCGGAAATGAGGCCCTCAATTTTATTAAAACCATAAGAAAAAAATGAGATCACAGGGGACCCCAACCTGCCCAATTTTTTAAGCATTCACTCTTCTGATATGTACCTTTTTTAAATATTATTTTTAGTTTTTTAATGTTTTTCTATATAAAATATTTTTTTTATATATTATTTTTAATATATTCTTATTTGTATTTATTTTTTTAAAATTGAAACCGCCTTTTAAAAATAAAAAATTTACTACCATAAAAAAATTTAGCAGGAAAAAAAATATATATAAGGATATTAGAAATTTATATATATTTTTTTTCTTATTCCATGGTATGAGAAAGTGTGAAACTGAAATGTGCAGAATAAAGTTGAGGAGACAGGGGAAAATTAATCACCTGAATGTAAAATCGAAGGAGTAAAATAAAATCCTTTGTGTGGTATCCCGTTTTAACTTTTTCGTAGTAAGTTGAAGCCCTTTTTTAAAGTTGTTAAATCTCACTCAAATTTCTCTAAGTTTTGATATTTAGAAATGGGAAGTGGTCAATAACTATGCACTGATTAGAAGTTCATAAGATTTGATTTCAACATAAAAATAGATCTGAGGGCGCAAAATATTTAATGACTGCTGTATGAGGAGTATACAATCCTTCCATGTTTTTCAGAAATGCTTACAATACCTTTCATAGGGAATATTTCGTAAGGGAATTCATGGCTAAATTCCCAAATTATACTGACATAATCAGATGTTTGGGCTCACATATATTAAATTTGATTTAAAATATTGGTATTAGTTAAAATATTACTTTATATACTTTGATTATTAAAAACGAAAATCGTAGTAAATATTTGATTTTAAATTTGTTTAACATTGGTATATAAACAAACAATATGTCATTTCTTGGTTAAGAAGACATAATAGAATAAACAGAAGGGATTCTGCAAGATGAGATTCTATATTTGTTTTACCCTTAATTTGTATTCTCATACAAATCGTAGTCAATTACAAGCTAGATTTCCACTGTAGTGTATCGACGATGACATGATTTGTGGGCCACCCAATAATCAAAGTTTTTACGGATATCAACTGAACAATTTATCACCTAAATTATTCCTTAGGTAAAGCTTATGTGATACGATTCTTATAGAAAACCATCCATGGAAGCATGGACATTGCACTCCCTTCCAGACCATAAATAGCATTTTCTTATTCAGAAAAATATTAAATGCTATTTATTTTAATCAAGGTTTTTTTGATTACCCATTCAAGTGGCATATAAATTCTAGAAAAAAATTGTACCCAAATCTAATGTGTTAGCTGGTAGATCCAACCTGGTAAGGTGCGCGTGAAATAAAATCCTTGCTTTGATACTATAAGGTGCTGATAAGGGTCTCTCTTTATTCTTTTCATTCAAATTGGTCATTCTTTTGAGTAGCTATTATAAAAAGAAATAAGAATATGAGTTATAAGATATGTTTAAATAAATGAATGTCAAATAAATATATTTATAATCAGAGTTGTTAAAAGATACTTTTTAAATAGATATAGATACAGTTACATTGTCTGAAAATTTTTCTAGGTACAGATACAATTTTAAAAATATATCTAGATAGAGATACAATTTTTATTATATTATTATATAAGGTTTGCATAAACCTAAATTAGGATTCTATTGTGAAAATTCATGAGATGAAAAAATTTATTGATTCGTTTATCAAAATATAATAATGATTTTTAGACTTTAATAATATATGAAAATATATTATATTAAAAAATTATAAATAATTATTAGATTTCATTAATAAAATATTTTTAAAATTTTAGTCATTAAGGCTTCCTCGTTTATCTGTAAAGACATTTTTAGTTATAAAGAAAGTCTTTCTACCAGGGCGCTTGAAGGGATTGTGGTGTTATATTTTATGAATAACAATTTTATAACAGGATATTCTTTAAAAAATACTAAAATCTCGACATTCATTTTTGAAAAAATTATTTTAAATTTGTTGAGTATAAAAATTTAAATCATTGTTAACAATCATACTATTGGCATCCACAGTGGCAATAAAATTCAATGTGTGACTGGCACGATGATTAGGTAAACTATATGATTCTGATATTTCAAAATCCTGAGCAATAGTATAAAGCTTGTTATTGATATTGGTACAACTGCTTCTTCATCTTCCAGATCATCCATGGATTCACTAATATTTTTAATTGGCTTGAAAACTTTATAATAAGTAATCCTAATCATATATAATGCTTATATTTATAATAAAATAGGCCTAAAAAAGTTGAGAAAATTTTTGGCATTGTCAGTAATGGTCTTTGAGATTTTATTTTGAATACAATAATCCTTTGCTATATCTTGTAAATTCTTTATTTTATCATAGTATGACTACCAGTCATTCTTCTACAAACCAACGCTACATTTTTTCTTTCCATACTTGTTGTATCTATATTGTGTACAGTGGCTCCTTTGTATGACCTAAAAATTAACATTTCTTAAAACTGCTCAAATAATTTGTTCATAAATTATTAAACAAATTTAAATGTTAGCTATACCGGCTATAGGCACTCCAACAATCTGCTGTTGTGCATATTAGCGATGGTTCTATTAGACTTTTTATGATTTCTTTTTCATTTTCCCATCTTTGAGAAATTCTACCAACCACTGTCTGTCGGCAAATCATATTTTTGGAGCTAATATTTTGATTATTTTTATAAATGAAGGATTTCTAGCTATAATAAAAGCAGTTATTAAATCATCTTAAGTGGTTTGGGCTCATGTCTGAGGTCTTTTGGCAAAAATATCAGCGGGTGATGAGCCTAATCCAATATTTTCCCTAATAGATTTATTCTCCTTCCCCCTTTTTTATTTTCATTATCAGTATATGATGTTTTCTCTTAAAATTACAATTGTAAACATTTATTTAGTATCTATACCTTTAAATGTTTTACAATGTTGCAAGTTGAAGTAATTCTAACTGAAATTTTCGTATTTTTTAATAGATATGGTTAAAAAACATTTCACTATCAGAGATTTGTTTTCTTTATTTTGAGATATTGTTTTAAAATATGCTCTATAGAGCCATTGAAACAATGTTTGAACTTGTTGATGCTTCATTGATTATTACTTCTTTCTCTTTATCACTATTAATATTAATCTAAAATAAATTTTTAAAATTAGTATAATAAAATAAAATTAACCAATTCCATTGAGAATAAAAATGGCAGATTCCTTGAGATGGATTGTATTGTAATATCAAAATTTGTTTTATTGATAAACTCGGACATAATATTTAATGAATATTTATATATATTTTTTTATATATAAGTTTTAATAATTTATATATATATAATTTTTTATTATAATACTTAATATTTTTTAAAAATTATATGTTCATATGAAATAAAATAAATTTTGCATTCAAGTATTTTTATTTATAATATAAAAAAGCGTTAAATAAAAGTATATCAAGATGTATCTTAAAAAGCATTTATGAAAAAATACAGATACCTCTAAAATAATATCTAGCTACAGATACTTTTTAAAATTATCCAGATACAGATATCACATTTATGTATCTAGATGCTTTAACAACTCTGTTTATAATATATTCACATATTTTACACTTTAAAATTCTATACTCTATGATTATGTTTATCATATCTAGAGATATTTAATAATAAAAATAAGTACGATTAATAATATCAAAAGCAATCAAAATGAAATTTCGTGCTGAATTGTATCATTGGCGTTGCTTATAACTAGAAACAAAAATGTGGTTATCTTATATATAAATTCAATTTACCATTAGGATGGTTTATTTTCTATTAAAGTAAATTATCCTTGAACATTCTTATGCTAAGAGCTAGCAAAGCCATTAATTTATATTATATTAATAAATACATCCACTTTTAATACCTGAGGCAATTCAAAATTGTCACTAGGTCTTTCGTGAATCTCCGTATTGTAAAATTTGCAGAATTCGAAAGAAGCAGCTAAAATCATAATAACTCCTATTTCATTTAATATTATAAATTTAATAAATAATATAATTGGTTTATAATTTTTAAATAAGTGGACTTAAACCTTGATAATAAATAAAATGGCAAAGAAATAGACATACTTTTCAGCATCATATTGGGTGTCTTATGGAAAAAATACATGTACATTTGTGTAGTGTCAATCAGTACTTTGTCCCCGCTGTATTTTATAGACTTGTACCACCATGTACCCTATTATTATAATTATATAATTTCTTTTTTTATTAATATAATATTTAACAAAAAAGCAAAATTTCCTTTTCTGTGTAAACCTCTTTATTTACACATTGTATTTTAATGATTAATGGACAAAACAAATTCAAATCAAAATAGAGATATCACTCCCATTCACCCAATTATATTTAAAAAAAACCTTAATAAATTAATTTTAATTGTTTTCTAAAAAACCTTAAAAAATTAATTTTAATTATGTTTTTATGGTATTAAAATATGTTAGTATTATAGATCTGCAAATCATGGCCTGGCCCATACCCAGGCCAGGTCTATTTTTAAAAAATATTTTCAGTTTGGGCTGAGTTGAGCCTAATATTTTTAAAATAATTTGGGGCCAGGCTGAGGGGCTTAAATTTTTAAATATGATATCATTAATTCTTGCGAGAAACAAGGCGCTAATATTTTTTATTTGTAGAATATTTTTTTTATAATCAAAACAAATATTTATATTTAAATAATTTTGGGATGTTTTGGACAGACAAATAATTTTTATTTTTATTTCGAGTCAGGCTTTTGGGGACTAATAGAAAAAAAATTATCAATACAAATTTGGGCTAAGCCTGGTAGCCCCAATGCAGATCACTAGTTAGTGTAGTGTTAATCAGGCGGCATTTATTTTAACTCCCCTGTAAATTTGATAGATCATATAAAATATTTCTGATAACTTCCATTACATAATATAAAAATTGAATGTTTAAATAAATAAGAGTTTATCAAGGCCAACAAAAAGTTATACATAATAAATCAGTGTGGGTGCCTTTATGTTATTTTTTTTTAAATATTAAGCTTATTTTAATTCAAAGAAGGTGATACTAAATTTGATATCTTTGCAATGAAGCTGGCTTTGATTTTTGGTTTTCCATTGGGACCAGTATATATTTTTTTATTATTAGATAATATCAGACTAGTGGTCTCACTAGGAAAGTGTACTTAGCTTGCCTAGTACATTTTTTATTTAAAGAAAACGTTTATAGGTCCATTAGCTGATAAGGTTTTATATCCTTACAACTGTCAGTTTTTCATGTGCAAAAAAATACATATTATTAATATTTTTAATACAATATAATTATATTTAAAAATTTTTTACTCACCACAAGAACAGGTAGTACAATCATGAATACAATTATATATGCTGTCAATACCTATTTAATAAAATATAGAATATATAAAAAAATAGTATCAATTGGTAAAAGAATAAATTTAAAAGAAAAATAAATGATTTGATGAACTTACAAAAAAAAATATTAATTTGGTAAAATCAAGTATATTTAATAAATTTTATTTACCCAAATAGAATTCCCCTTTTCTACAATCCAAGCAGGTAATGCTATCCCAAAAGTTGTTGCTTTAAAAAAATTAGTATAAATGTCAGAAACATTAAATTTAATTGAAATTTATTCAATTAGTTTTGTTGATTATATGATTTAACCAAAGGATTCAACTTATATACCTCAACTTGATTTAATATAAAATTAAATTCAACTAATCAAGTTAAATTTGCTTTAATTTTAAGAACTAAATCTTACAAATGAGTATGGCAGGTTGATCTTGCAATAATGAATAATATATTAGCAATTTATATATCAGAAACCTGCAGACGCAGAAATTTTAGACCTGAACTAACTTGGATTTAAAACCAATATCAATTTTTATGCTTGGGCTATTTTTTTAGCCAGCTCTAGATTTTACTATTTTAAGCCTGAAATTTGTCATTTTATAGCTGAAATAGATTTTAAAAATTACACCATTTTAGGATGTCTCCAGGTCAGGATTAGGGCCTGCATTCAATATATATTTATTCAATATAATTAGTTTTATAAATATACTTATATAAACAAACTGAAAATATTATATTATACCTCCTGGACCATCTGGATTACCAAATTCTTCCCAGTTTTTCCTAGAATCTTCATCAGTAAGTCTTAATTAAGTTTTTAATTTACAAAAAAATATTCATATATATTTACGCAGCATAAGCTTTGGCAATTTTCATAAATTTATTTGAATCTCCTGTATCCTTAACATCAGGGTGATACATTGCACTTAATTGCCTATATTTTTTCTTGATTTCACTAACTGTAACACCCTAAAATAGAAATTATTTATCAACAAAGGGAACTAAATAAAAATACCCTATCAATTTCTAATATTGCATATGGATCATATTCATTAAAATCTTTTTCAACTTTTGCAGCATAATAGGCTAGATAAAAAAAGATTAACCATGCTGACACTAAAAATATTTTGCTAAAAAATATATAGAATAAATTGTAATTGATTTTTCATACATTAATATATTTTTAATTTCATTTTTAGGTTTTAAAGCATTAATTAAATTAAATTTTGCATGGCAACCATCACAGTGACATTTTTTGATAATTTCTCCATCTACATTAGTTATAATATATAAATTAAAAAACAAAATTTTGTTTACTATATTTTTTTTTCCTGGGCCAAAAATAATATGTAGTTGGAATTAATGCTAGAGCAAAGAAGGTTGTTATAAAATAATATGAGGTTCCTCCGCTTTTATCATATTCAAATTGAGCTCCTGCCATACAAAGAATCGCTGAGCTAATAAAGTTTTAACTAGAATTCGAGTTTACACGATGCCTATGGGCATCTTAGTGAATATTTTATAATCCACATGTAAAGTTTATAAATCTCCTAGAATTTTTTAAAAAAACTAAAAATATGAGAGAAAATATTATAACATCATTTATATAAATAATAAATATTCTATAATATATCTATAAAAAGTTGGATTGATTTTATTTTTATTTGATAGATTATTCTCTCATAAATATGCGGCTATATTCCCATAGGGTAATGTCTCGAATCGGAGGTCCCTCATTTTTTTATTTAAGAGTACTAAAAATCTAAATTTTGTAATAATGAAATGCTTAATAAATACTTTTCTCAAAAGGCTGAAATGACAATTTTTGTTTTGTTACAATATGGGCTAATTATTTAAGCAACCTCTGATTCCACTAATTTTTTTTTAAAATTATTTAAAGTGCTCTATATTAAAAAAAATTGAGGTGCTAAGAACGCAGTCTTCTCTAACTTACTTTTTATGTGGCACAAATCTCCCTTTATGGCAAATTCACTGTTAACCCATTAATGGTCAAGATTTTTCTAGCGGATAAAAATGCTCAATTTTTTCAAATTATATTGATTAATGCTCAAATATGATATTCTAAAAAAATCAGCCAAAAAAAATAATCCTAAATAGAAAATCTAGCCTGGTGCATATATGCACCGTTAACCATTAAGAGGTTAAAAAAGATTAAAATTATATAAAATACTATAAGATCAAAAAAAACAACAAATATCTTTATTCTTTTTTTTGTAATTTATAATAAAAACGAGAAAATGTTTATATATTATGAAAATCCTTGAAACATTTAATATGGAGTGCGATTTGACATGTTTGGCACATATATCTTGATTGCGTATGGCAATATCTGCATCTTCGTCTTTTTCCATCTATAATTTTGGATAAATAATGTCCAGATGAATCAATAGGGTTTTCACACTGTAATGCAAACTGGCTGGCGTGACCTGTACTTGAATTTTTTTCAATTTTTACTGGCGTTCGAAGGAGGTAGTTAGTAACTTCTCGTCTAAATGCAAGCAAACTCTTCTTGTCATCTCGATTCACGAATTTCCAGATTTTCCATGAATTTACCAAAGCTACATCAATAAAATTGGTGAATATTGGCCACCACCATTTTTTTCCTCTTATTTTTATTCTATATGTAGATATTAGATTATCACATAGATCAACTCCACCCATGTGTTTGTTATAAGCAGTTACCATATTTGGCTGAGGAATTTTTATTTTAGAAGATATTTTCTTAGAATACCTTGAAACATTAGAAAGCAAAGAGATAGTGTGGCATGTCGATGCAACGGTCACCACCGAATTATCATTCCAACGAACTACAAATATTTCGTTTAATTTTTCAAACCTATAATCATAATATCCTCTTTCTTTTTTTGCTACAACCTTTATAGATTCAACTGGGCAATGCTCTATTCTATTGTCCCTCACAGTTCCAGTTGCAAAATATCCCATTTGTTTTAAGTATGACAAGAGTTTAAATGATGTAAAGAAATTATCAAAATATATTTTATGATAATTTGGTTTTTGCAATGCCTTTAATAATTTTATGATTACATTTCCACCTAATCCATATTCATATTTATTTTCGCTTTTTCCTTGATATATATCAAATGAGAATACGTAACCGTCGGAAGAGGCCAATATCCAAGACTTGTATCCGAATCTAATTGGTTTTCCTTTTATGAACATTTTGCAAGAATGTCTTCCTCGATATGGTATCATCTCTTCATCTATTGATAAATGATGTTTAAAAATTCCGAATTGCTGAAATTTATTATTCAATATATTAATGTAAGGCCTAACTTTATAAAATCTATCATGTATATCTATTTTAGTATTGTCTGCCAAATGGATATTATATTTCAAATTTCGAAATTGTAATTGGGTCATTGTATCCCGGATTATTGGAATAGAAATATCGCTGTCATTAGACCAGTACATTCTTTCTTGTGGGAGAGAATGATATCCAGTAAATAATAGAATTCCAATAAATCTCTGAATATCTTGGATGGTTATGCATATGTTAGGTCTATTCATTTATTTAGCATAAATATTACTTTGTTCTACAATTAGGGAATATAAGTCTTCGTCGAAAATTAAACAAAATATATCTGATGGACTTTTACCATGTAAATCATTTTCAAGTTTTATTACATCTTCCTTTTCTCCATTGAAAGGGCTTGAAGAATATATTGCATCCGTTTTTCTCCATTTTAAATTGTGAGAAATTCGAGAATAGCTTCTTGTAGAATATGGTTCTGGAAGGTCGTCATCAACTGAATTATGAATCTCCAATTCTCCAGCTGTATCTGAAGGCAAAACTCCGACATTTGTTAAGTCATTTTCATCGAAATCTTCTTCATCACTAACTGCAGAGGGGTTTGGCGGAATTATAACCATATCTCTTTCTTCAATTGGTTCCTCTTCAAAAAGTTGAGCAAGCGCTTGTTCAATTGTTAGAAAACGTTTCATTAAAAAAATTTATTAAAAATTAAATATCTAGACAAATTATTTTCGTAGAATCTTGATTTTTTTATTAGTCATCTATTATTTTGATAATTTTGATTGAATTGACAAAACAGGTGCATAATATTTTATATAAATAAAATAAAATCTTCAGAAAGGAAGAGGCTAAAAATAATTTTAAACTTTTGAATATTTATGAACCTAATAATTTCATATAATTTGATCGGGATAAAAAATTATAATAGGAACAATATATTATTCGATTTAATCTCAGGGGAAAAAAATTTTTTTTAATTATTTTCAAAAGGTCTTTTTTGGGTATAAAATTTTTTTTAAAAATTCTTAAGGGGCTCGAGCCACCCACCCTTCCCCTTCCCACCCTTAGTGACGGTAGTGGTTTTAAGTATAATATAAAAAATTATAATTCATTATGTTAAATTTCATTTGTTTGAATTTTTTTAAATAATATATACTGCTAGATGGTTAACGGTGCATATATGCACCAGTCAACTTTATGTGGTTACCTACTAAAATATTAATTATTTAAAAATTCAAAAATGATTGATAAATATTGATATATCTATAAAAAATATATACACACTAGTTTTCATCGAAATAATTTTATAATATGCTCGTGAGATCACTTAGAAAATTTTGCATTTTAGACCTCATAAATTCGCAAAGTTTGAGGGTTTCTTAGGGGCATAAAAAAATATTTTTTTCATATTTTTCTTTTCCAGTTTTGAATTACAATGTCTGAACTATATAAAAATCTTTTTTATTATTTTAAAAACTACTATGTTAAAATAAGGTATATAGGAGGTGGTGCATATATGCACCGTTAACCAGTAACGGGTTAATGACCTTAAAAGTACATTTTATTTTTCCGTTTATTTTACTTATTTTAACTTTTTTGATTTATGAACTGCTTCGCGTTTATATGGGGGGGGGGGGGGGTTATATATTAAATCATTATATATTTCTATAAAATATATTTAATACTTTTAATATAAACCTATTATTTATTTATATGTTATATATTTTAATTTATTATATTAAATTAAATAGACATCATTTTAAATTAAGTAATTTGATATGCAAAAAAAAATCTAATAAAAAAAAATATCAGCCAATGAGAAATAAAAAATAAATGAAAATTAATATAATTCAAAAAAGAATAATCAAGAATGAGAAGTAGAAAAAAAAATTGGGAAAAGATCAGAAAAATAAGGATTAAAAACGACTTAAAGAGATTGAATAGGTTAGAAATATATAAAAGTAACAATATAAGGAGAAAAATTGGTAAAAAGTCAAAGACAAAAGAATTGTTAAAAAATGGAGTAAAAAATGAAAAAAAACAACAAGGAAAATTAATAAATTATTATAGAAAGGTTCTAGGAAAACTCTTTGGCTAATAGATTACCATTGAAGCTTATGTAATTCACTTAAAGGAAGCTATGGCCAACCTTTGCCGAAGAAAAAACCCCTCTAAAGGTTCTTTTGAGAGTTTGCTGAATTATATAAATAATATCATTATATTGCAAAACATCGACTAGATTTATATATCGCATTCAATCATAGTCACAGGGGCGTCGCTATTTACAATCTCAGGGGTCTCAACTAAAAAATATTTATTGGGAGTTTCGCCCCTATATCCTCTTCAAGCGGGCCTTTGATCAGGTTTTATATTAATATATAATACATTTTTAAGATTTGCTAACTTGGAACAATTATTCCGAATTTCATATTTTGTCATTTATCATATTATGCATACAAAATAAACTAGCATAAAAATAATTAAAACAATACATGACATCTCTAAATATAATATTTTTAATACAAAATCTATTTATTACAGTAAAATATTTTCGCTGATATAAATTTATTTTGCGTCTAAATAATTATAAGTGATAAAAAAGGTTAATTAATTCATACATATGCCTCAATTGATAATGGTTTTTAAAAACCACATATGGCATTATAATTTTTAGCAACTTACATTGACAAAATGCCATGGAACTAATATAAATCTGTTACCATATTACACATTGTTTTAAAAAATGGATCTATAAGGAAAAATTTATAGGCCTAACCAAATTAACAATTCTTGAAGAAGAGAATATAAACGACTAATTCAAATCATAAAACTATATGGTATTTAGAGCTTCCTCTTAGATGACATGATGGTAGCTAGATAACTAATCGAGAAAATTATTGTGAGATATTATATTTCTAAAAGATTATCTTCCATTTTTAACGATATAAACGACTACACAGTTGACCATTATTGCTTATCTAAAATATGCTCTTAGAAGCTATAGTAATAATCTTAAATAATATAGCCACACAAATAATAGACGCTGGTTAATTTGTAGTCATGGACATGACACCCACGATGTTAACTCATATCAGAATTTATAATGTTAGATAAATTGATAAACAAAAACACTAAAAATAATTTAAAGAAATTATGCAAATATATTGAAGCCTTGAGTTATTTACATGGCAAGGATGTCATATTAGAAATGAAACATTTTGTAACTATAATAAGAACCAGAGTGATATGATGAAAACATTTAAGATTTTATATATTATTATCGCACCAACTCTAGTTGGTATATTATATCTTAAAATAATAGTAGTTTGTAATAATATCAAAAATATACTTGTGTATTAATTTAACTCAAAACTGCTTTTCAAAGAAGAAAAAGATAGCTTTCTTAAAAACACGTTAATAAAGAGAAGATTAATTTATTACATTCATTGTGGGATGAATAATTGGATATTTAATTTTAATAATAATTTTAAATAAATAGAGGGCGTTAAATAATTGAATGCAAATTGTTACTTATATTTATTATCAAAGGCATTTAATAGTAAAATTTATTAAAATATTAACTGTAATATATACGTCTGAAGTGAGGACATTTTACCTAATATTTTAAAATCAATAAACTATATGTCTACTTATTTTTTATAAAGAAATCTCTTATACTTATTTGGACCTTTAAATATTTTTAGAAAGAGGCATGGTAATTAAATTAAAAATGAATATTATAGTTGATTAGTGATTTTGAACTCAGCTAATTACAATATTAAATTTGTTAATTTTCAATTAAGAAATTATTATATTAATTTAATAGGGTTATATTATAATTTAAACTAGTAGATAGCCCGTCAAAAATGACGGAGAATGAGAATTTTATTCGTTTTTTTAAGAAAGATGTTGCCTTTTATTTAAAAATAATATCCAATTTATATTATTTTTAAACTCCCCTCTCCTCATTTAAATCAAGTCCAACCAATGTCATTGAGTTCAATCCTTTAGGACTAAGAGTGGAAACTATTATGAGCTTTTACCCAATATCAAAATTCTTTGTAAATATATTACTGATTACATAAGACTAACATTTAACATTAAAAAATTTCAAGGCAGGTCCAAGCTCATAATACTTGGAAAAAATTTCCAAGCGTCAAAGACCTTATAATTTTTAAAAAAAATTCTCAAGCCTGGCTCAACCAATAATAATTTTGAAAATTTTTCTTAGCTCGGCCCATAATAATTTGTAAAAGATATTCCCAAGTCAGGTGCAAGCAAATATTAATCTTGAGGAATATTTTCCAAGCCCATTCCAACCCATATTAATTTTCAAAACTTTTTCCCAAACCCGGTGATAGTTAAATTTCCAAATAATTTATCATCACATGAGGGGGCTCGGATTTACAAATTAGTGAGTTAACTCCTTTTATCAAAAAATTTGATAAGGGCTATCTATATCTCTATGTTAAGTATAAAAAAAATACTATCTATTTAAATTAATGCCATTCAATACTAATGAAACTTATATGCAATTTATTTAATTTTTTAAGAAATTTGTTTTTCTTGCCATATAAATTTAGGTAATTTTTTAAAAAAATGATGAGGATTAATTATTATTTCGTGTGTCTGATCAAATTAAAAGCAAATCCTTTATGACATTTTAATTTTTGATGGAAAAAGTAACAAAATAAATCTGGACAGTCGTCTGCAGAGGAAATAATTATTATATAATATCATCCCATTTAGGGTTGTAGGTGAAAGTAATGAATAATGACGGATTACCAAAGCAGTGTACAACACCCATTGCGTCCTGATAAACCTGAGGCCTTGGGCTACTGGTAAAAGAAGAACGCAAAAATGATATTTCTGCCAAAGTGTCAGTTTTGGTATCCCCCTCTAAAATAGAATCATGAACGACATTGTCAACTCAACCGTAAAACGATCGTAAGTATTGTTATAAAGGCCATGACAAAACTACCGCATATTTTCCCATTAATAATGTTAATGAAATTGGCCGCACTACACATTCGCGTTTGAACATCCCTCTAAATATTCATGAAAGTTCCTCAGGGAATCGGATAAAGTATTATTTATATTAACTCCTATTGAGGTGAATGATAGTGGAATTAAATGCTTATATTTGTTAAAAATTAGGCAGAGGTGGCATAGGGATTGTGGTAGTGGTGATAGAAATATCATTTGGAGGCAACTGGGTGAATATAAAATAAACATATAGATATAAAAAATTAGA